ATTGGTTAGAGAAACGGGACTATGCGTAGATTTGAATATGGTTATTGACTGTTAAAAAGAGTAAGATGTCAACCCAGAATATCCAATGTCTTAAATAACTGATGTTTTTAATGTTAGATTGTAGAGAAAATAATAAAATTTATTAAAAAAAAGAAATGCATGGTGTGGAAAGAACTTCAGGAAGTGCTCACATCTGAAACCCATATAAATGCATGAGGTGTGGAAAGAGTATCAGTGGAAGCTGAAGGCTTGGCCTGCATCTGAGGTCCCACACAAGGGCCAAATAGATGTATGGACTGCAGAAAGAGCTCCAAAGACTGCTTTATGTACATCAGTGAGCTCATGCAGAGGAAGCTACATGTGCAAGAAGTGTGCAAATATCTTCAATTTGAAATAATACTGTCGGGAACATCAAAGAACTGTACCTGACACTCTGCTATTTGGAAAGGGACTTCAAAGTGGGGGTAAAGCAGGACATTGGTGGGCAGAAAGCGGAGGTGAGTGGAGAAGTCAAGATCTCACTCATGCAATTTTCTCCCTGGGTTCTACCTTTTCCCACAGAAGCCTTGGTTTCTGTACATGGTATTTTAACCTTTCAAGAATGCCATCAGTGAGTTTGGGATGGAAACATGGACGCAGGACAGCTAGCCAGCTTCACAGCTGAATAGACATAAACCACCCAGTCCTGTGAAATTTGTTAGTGTCAGGAAAGGTTACTTCCAGGGATGGGGAACATGCAGTCTTCCCTATGTCGGAGCCCCAACTCCCATCAGCCTCAGCCAGCACAGCCAGTGGAGAAGTGAGAGTTGTCATCCAGCAACATCCAGAAGACGACACATTCCCTGTTCCGTACACACTAGAGAGTCAGTCCCATTGCTGTCTGGGTGGCTTACCTCTGAGTAAAAATGCATAGGATTGCATTGCTAAAGCCACGCCTGCCTTGCTGGAGACTAGCGTTGTACAAATCCCAGCTGCTCTTAACTTCATTTTCCCATGTTTTGGTCTGCAACCACCAGCATTTTTTGACTTGGCCTGGCTGATGTGAACTGAATTTCAAAACATGGAGAAGGCTTCCCTGATGACTGATTTAATTTAGCATGTTTATTTTATTTGTATTTAGTAAATGAATGTGGAAACTGCCCAGAGTGTCTGTGGGCTACTGGGCAGTATAAAAATGCAAATAAACAACCAACAATGCTAAAGCAAAGCATCTCATGTTAATTTTTGGTCATATATGCCACAAGTATTTAACCTAAAATCACACTTCATGTGATTTAAATGCTATATTGTTTAAATGGTTATTAGAATAATTGTAAAAATGTGGAGACAGTAGTGTATACCTCCTCCACATGGTTTTAGAGGAGGAAAGGTACTGCAAATTGCTGACATAAATTTCAGTCATCCAAAGAATCATGTGTTATATACTGTTCTACAACTGCCAAGATTGCCTCCTATTGTACTTTCGGTTGGTGACAGTTAATTGTTACTAAGGAATATATGCAGCCCTTTGAAGGTATTGTGTGAAAAAACAGCTTAATACAGTATTATAACTAAACATAAAGCTCATTGAACAAAAATATTCAGCTGCGTCTGAACAATTCCATAGTACCAGGGCTAGTTTAGCTTCCACATATGATGGAGGCTTTAGCATGTCCACCTTGGTAGATTTTAAGTGCCGGGGTGAATGAGGTGGGAAGGGTCTTCCAGGGCATGACCCAAGAAAGACCAGGATTAACGTTCTGGTGGCAGCGGTAGATATCCAAAGAATTAAAGACAGACCACAACCATACAAGGAAAGGAGTGCATTTGTGACATGCCAAGTTAGGGTAAACTGTCTTGCGGGGTGCAGAAGGCAGAAGTCCAAGAGGTGGTACTGAGATCTGCGGTTTGGCCACAGCCTCAAAGTAGGAGCGTGCAGAAGGGCAGAGAGGATCTGCTGGGGGGTTGCAGCACTGCGTGGCTCTGTCTACCCAAAAGGGGAATGCCGTAGACAAAAGGAGATTCGTTGCTCCGCTGGAGCAGTCCCTTTTCTCCTCTCACCTCATCTGGAAAGGCAAAAGGGTCACGCGAGTCCTCCGTACGTCTGTCTAACAAACTGAGATGTCCCCCATGGGCACGCCAGCCGCTCTCCTTCACGCATTCCGTATGGATGCCAGTGAGTAAATAATCCATTTTTGTCGCCTTTTGCTAATCAGCATCTCAGTGTGGAGCCTGACAGATGCAGGTGCAAGCAGCAATCCGCTGTTTAATGCTTGCTTCTGCTGAACCAGCGTACGACCGAGTACGCACACACGGGTTCCCAACAGCACCCGATCCAAGGACGCAGTACTGGGGGCAGGGTAACCGCACAGCCCTGCTTCGGCCTCAGCGTGTGAGTGGAGGACGTCCTTCCTCAGGTGTGCAGCCCGAGCCGTACGATCACGCAGGATGGCGCAAGGCTGAGAGCGTTTGGCCCATCCCCTTCCTTCTGGCGCACATCACTGCCTCCCAGCGCCAGCACGGCGAGGTCTGACCCAGGGGCAGGGGAGGCGGGTGGGTGAGGTGGCCCTCACTGTCCGCTTAGGTGTCAAGAAGCACATGGACACATTAAACATTGAGGACTTGGATTTCCGGAAGACTTTTGACCAAGTTTGGCAAAGGCTCCTGAACAAACGAAGCAGTCAGGGAGTAAAAGGGGCGGGGGGCTCTTGTGGATCGCTGCCTGATCGGAGGGTGGGAGCAAATGGCAATTTCTCCCAATGGAGGGACGTCACCAGTGGAGTCCCACAGCATTCTGTACTGTGACCAGTGCATTTCAGCCTACTCGTAAATGGTCTGGAAATAGGAGCAAGGGCATGGTGTGGAGAAGAGGGAGGGAGGACCGTTTTTCTCCCTTCCCAACAACACTCGAACCTGGGGTCATCCCATGGAGCTGATCAGTGTGAGGTTTAGGACAGGTAGAAGGAAGTACTTCTTTCCGAAGCACAAGCTGGGAAATTTGCTGCCACAGAAAGTGGCGATGACCACCAGTCCAGATAGCTTTAAAAAGGGACGGGAGAGGGCCATGAGGGAGGAGGCTACCAGGGGCTACTAGCCTCGCTGGGTATGTGCTGCCGCCCTCACCAGAGGCAGCCTGCCTGTACACATCCATTGCCGAGGAGCCTGGGCAGGAGGAATTCTCGAGGGATCCAGTGGCAGCTGCTTTGCACCATGAGCAGAGCGCGGAACTGGATGAACCTTTGGTCTGATCCAGCAGGGCTTATGTCCTGCTTTCTCTGGACCATGCATAACTTCATACACCTGTATTATGTCTCTCCAGATGTACCTTCCTTCAAAGCCAGTGGCTGTCAACCTTTTTACAGTTGGGAACCAGCAAAAATAGGAAAATTATTTCGGGGACTGCTGAGGCAGAAATAAAATGTGCAGACGTGCATGCACACACACAGTATTTTGTGTCTCTCTCTGTGTGTGTGTATAGTATTTTGTGTATTATTTTTTAAATATAGTGCCAAAAATGAAAATTCTCTAAAATAACCAGAACCCAAGCAGTAAAAAATCCTAATAAAAGAATAGAATATTGAAATTAAATGTAATCAAATACAATTGAATTTTTTAGAGAGCAATATTTATTTCAAGTAAGGCTAGTGTGAAATCTGCTGTTGCTTCAAGAATACTTGATCAAATATTTTCAATAGCAAAATACACAATCAATATAAGTACAATACTATACTCAGAGCAAATACAAATTCAAATACAATATTAACAGCAGAGCCACACAAAATTAAACCAAGTTACTTAATACAATAATATTCATAACGTTAAATATGGCCTGATCCATCACAGCACTTCTTATATTCTTAGGACGTCACTAAAACTTGGGCGTTAACGATCACAACAATGCTGTGATGTTCTCATCCATTAATGCTGCCATAAATGAGCAATGTTTATTTTGCACACATTTAAGCTTGAGCATCGTCGCAGACTCTATTTTCAGCATTTTGTTTCCATCAAACGTTACCTCATCAGTCATATTATTTCCTCTATATCCGTCTCTATATAGCGATTGATAGGAAAGACAGATCTGCAGACTAAGGATTATACGAGTAGTTCATATATCTGATGAAGCGTGCCTTATAACCTTTCTTTTCCCTCACTGATACAAGGACAGGGCGCACAGTTTGGGAGTGTTCCTTGACCCAGAGCTGTCCCTGGAGTTCCAGGGGGCCGCTGTGGCGAGGAGCGCTTTCCTCCATCTACGGCTGATCCATCAACTGTGCCCTTTCCTGGATGAGCAGAGCCTGGCACCGGTGACCCACGCTCTGGTAACTGCCCAATTGGACTACTGCAGTGCAGTCTACGTGGGGCTGCCCTTGAAGATGATCCGGATACTTCACTTGGTTTAGAACAGAGCTGCCAGGATGTTAACAGGGACTGACAGATATGCACATACAACGCCGGTCCTTTACCATTTACACGGGCTACCGATTGAAGTCCGGGCCCAATTTAAGGTGCTGATGATGACCTATAAAGCCCTAAATGGCTAGGGCTTTATAGCTTCAGATATCCTTCTGAAGGAGCATTTCCTTCCCTATGAGCCTGCCTGCACCTGAAGGTCTGGGTCCCAGGTCCTTCTTTGGGAACGCTCTATGAACATTAGGTGGGTGGCTACCTGGAGAAGGGCCTTCTCTGTGGTGGCACCCTGGTTGTGGAATATACTCCCCAGAGAGGTTTGCCTGGTGCCAACACTATTCTTTTTGGTGCCAGGCCAAACCCTTTTTATTTTCCTAGTACTTTAGGGTTTAGATTGGGATTTTAAGTGGGTTTTTATTGTATAGAATGGATGCTGCATTCCATTTTATTACAAGACCATCCTGAGACCATTTGGGAGCGAATGGTATACAAAAGTTTTAAATTAATTAATTAATTGACTCAGCCATGGAGTCAACTGGGTGATTTTGGGCCAGTCAGACTCTCAGCCCAACCTACCTCACAGGGTTGTTGTTGTGGGGATATGATGGAGGAGGAGATGTAAGCTGCCTTGAGCCCTTTGTAGGGAAAAGGCAGGATATAAATCTATCAACCAATCCATATTTTAAAAAAGCAGAAGCCACCCAAGTCGTGTCACAACAGTGAGCTGCTGCACGCCTTGCAGTCCTTGCCAATTTGCATTTCTGCTAGAGGAATGTTTTTGCCTGTTCAGCTGGGGACTTTGGAGCGGGAGGGGAGGAGGTGTGAACGGTCTCAGGACAGCTCATAGCCTGGCTTCTCCACTCACTTCCTCTTTCAGCCCACCAATGCCCCCACCCCCATTTGAACTCCCTTTCCCAACGGCAGTGCCAGGTATAGTTCTTTGATACACCCACAGGTATTATTTCAAACTGAAGATCTTTCCACACTTCTTGCATTTATAGAATTTCCTCTGGATGAGATCACGGATGTAAGAACTCTTTGGAGTCCTTTCTGCACTCCTCACATCTGTATGGCTCGTGTGTGGTACCTCTGTTGCAAGCTAAGCCTTGAGCTTCCACCGATACTCTTTCTACATGCCATGCATGTATATGGGCTCCCACATGTGAGTTATGTGATGTTTGCTAAGGTGTCCACTATACCTGAAACTCTTGCCACATTCCATGCATTTATATGGCTTGTCCCCTGTATGTGTTTTTTTATGTTTAGTGAGCGCTCCGTTATCACCGAAACTCTTCCAACATTCCATGCACTGAAATGGTTTCTCCCCTGTGTGAATTGTTTGATGTCTAGTCAGATTTGAGCTCTTACTGAAATTCCTTCCACACTCCGTGCATTTATATGGTTTCTCCCCTGTGTGAACTGTTTGATGTGCGGCAAGGTTGGAGCTGTGTTTGAAGTTCTTTCCACACTTCATGCATTTATATGGTTTCTCCTTTGTATGGACTGTTGCATGTTTAATGAGTGCTCCATTTTCACCAAAGCGCCTTCCACATTCCATGCATTTATAAGGTTTCTCCCCTGTGTGGGTTCTTTGATGTCTAGTCAGATTTGAGTTCTTCCTGAAGTTCTTTCCACATTCTGTGCATTTGTATGGTTTCTCCCCTGTGTGAACTGTTTGATGTGCTGCAAGGTTTGAGCTACGTTTAAAGTTCTTCCCACACTCCATGCATTTATATGGTTTTTCCTTTGTATGTACTACTGCATGTTTAGTGAGTACTCCATTCTCACCAAAACTCCTTCCACATTCCATACACTTATATGGTTTCTTCCGTGTGTGAGTTCTTTGATGTCTAGTCAGATTTGCGCCCTTTCTGAAGTTCTTTCCACACTCCATGCATTTATATGGTTTCTCCTTTGTATGGACCATTGCATGTTTAGTGAGTGCTCCTTTCTCACCAAAGCTCCTTCCACATTCCATGCATTTATATGGTTTCTCCCCTGTGTGAGTTCGTTGATGTCTAGTTAGATTCGAGCTCTTTCCAAAGTTCTTCCCACACTCCATGCATTTGTATTGTTTCTCCCCTGTGTGAATTTTTTCATGTATAGTAAGGTTTGCACTCTGCTTGAAGCTCTTTCCAAACTCCATGCATTGATATGATTTCTCTCCTGTGTGACTTCTCAGATGTATTTTAAGGCTAACACGACCACTGAAGCTTCTGCCACAGTGCATGCATTTATATGACTTCTCCCCCATGTGGATTCTCTGATGTACATAAAGCTGTGTGTGTCTCTTGAAGTGCTTTCCACACTCCATGCATTTGTATGGTTTCTCTCCTGTATGAGTTGTTTGATGTAAATTAAGTTGTGACTGGTCTTTAAAGCTCTTTTCACTCTCAATGTATTTATATGATTGTAGACCTTTATGGGTTCCACGATGGAGTGTAAGACTTGAGGAAACACTTAAACTGTCACTCCATTCCACGCGTTTCTTTCTTCTGTGGGTTCGGTACAGTATATTTAATTTTCCATTATTTTCAAATATGTCCCCACACCCTATAAAAGTTTTTCTTGTCTTTTTTTCCTCGCCTTCTTCAGAGCGCAGGAATCCATGGATGTCAGAAACCTGAGCAGCTAAGGAGTTCTTCTTATCTTCTATTGCCTTGTTCCTCTTTTTATGTTCTCTTCCCCTTTGATTCCCAAATAACTCTCTTCCCTGTTCATGCGTGGAAGCTTCCAGAGAGATGAGAAATGGCTCCTGAGAATTTTCACTGCTCTGCCAATTGTCTGTTTTGGGAACAAGCAAACAAATAAAAGAACAATCCTGTAGGAGTTTGTGACAGAAACCAAGTATTGCACCAGAGTCCCATTAGCAGCCTCCGTTGCAAATTCTCTCTCCCCTTTCTGAATCGTGGACCCCTTCCTGAAACCTTGTTACTGCTGGAATACACGACTCCCCAAAACAGGAATTACACTGCATGCAGTATCCGGTAGATCTCAAAGCCATGAAGTATTTCCATCAGCAGGATTCAATGGATCATTCATGGATCCGGCCACCTCTGCATTTATCTGGGGAACATGCCTTGTGGTGGAGTAGATCAAGCTCATGGGGTGAGGATGCCACGAGAAATGTGCAAGGAAGCCCTGGAATTCTCAAACAAGAAATGGTCCCACCACAAAGCTAAGCCCATACCTGCCAAATTATTCCCTTCCTCAGAGCCCTGGACAAATGGATCTTCTCCTTCATCCAGCCAGGAAATGAGGTCTGGTTTGGGAACTTTTCAAAGAAAGAGAAGGTTTAATCACCACAATATAGTCACACATTCCAAGGGCTATTTATTTTTTTATTTATTTACATGGAATTTCCTTTACTGGTTGCTGAACGTTTTTTTAAAGATTCACATTACACTGACATAAGGAAGAAAAAACCTGTATTTTGCCACTGCAATGAGCTTTCTCTATGCATACATAATTCAGTTCTCCCATATCCCCCTGGAATGCCAGTCATCCTGAAATTGGCAGCTGCAACATTCATGCCCCATAATAACCATGCCTATGCAACTGAACTGCGTTCCTGCAGCCTCTCTGCACACCTTCCCCCCCCCTGGAGGGGTCTGTGGTAAGTCCTGGACTCATGCCTAGATAAATGCATCCTCAGTTTAGAGAGGTCCCACAGACCACACAGCCTTGCACAACAGGGAAACAGGGCTGAGAGCAACTGTGTCACCCGCCAGGGTCACCTTGGCCTTCCAGAGATCAAACAGGGTTTAGACAGGAATGCCAGCCCCACTGCATGCACACCCCTGCAAGACTCCATCAGCCCCTGGGAAAGATGATCCGACTGGAAAGACCAGGAATCCCAATCCTTCCCACCCTCCTAAACAACCAATCAGGCAGCCTCCCTACCCAGTGAGACCATGTTCCCATAGTTTTCCAGCATGACGTCCACGTACAGAGCTCTCTGGCCTGGACCCAGGAGATCCCACTCGCTCTTGGAGAAGTAAATTGCGACCTCCTCGAAGGCCAGCAGCAGCCACTGAAAGAGAGGGGAGAATTCTCTTGCATTCAGAAAGACTCTCTCAGTTTGTAAGGGAGCTTGGATGCAAGAACGAGTCACCTTTGGGTGTGTTTTTGAATTATTTTCTGCAGGATCCCAGAAGTCACAGAGAGCCAGTGTGGTGTGGTATTTGGGAAGCTGAGACTGGGAGTCCAGAGTTTGGGTTCTAGTCGCCCCTCATCCATGGAGCCCATGGCTGACTTTGGGCCAGTCAAAGATTCTCAGCCCAACCAACCTCACTGGGTTGTTGTTTTGTTGTTGTTGTTAGGATAAGATTGAGAGGAGGGGAAATATGTAAGTGGCCCTCAGTTCCGTGAAGGTAAAAAGATGTAGATGCAGAACATGCATACACACAAAATAAATAAAAACAATGTCAGGCAACAGCAATTTGACCTTCAGCAAAGAAACTGGTAAAGAATGTACATGCCTGCTGTGACCCTTACATAGGAACAGAGTTTTGAAGGGTTGATAACCATGAGATGCATGTCAAGAAACCTCAATTTCCTTGTTTTCCAAAGCTATTTCTTGTGTTCTACAAGAAGGTATATATCCTTTGTCCACCAAACTAAGCAAACTAACTAGGTCTCATTAAACTGTTACTTAATCAGGACAAAGAAGGCAGGCCAAAAGTGTATGAAGAATGCTAAGACTGCAAGATTTCTTCAGCATTATTTCCTAATGGTATTAATGCCTAGCATGCAAGATGATAAAGCTTCCTGTTTGTGTTTTTATGTGGCAAGTCCTTCACTCTGAATGGACCTCCAGGTATAATCTAGAGGCAGCTTCAGCCTCTCCTGTGACTAACTTTGGAAGGCCCACACAAGAATTAAGGAATGAAAGAGCTCCCAGCCAACTTAACTGGGCTCCAAAAGTAAAAGGAGGAGAGGGCCACAAAGAGAGGGGAACCCTGGTAGCCCCCTGCATCGGAAGCAGTATGCTTGTGTGCACTGGTTGCTGAGGCATGTGCAGAGTGCTCGACTAGATCCAACCCCGCAGAGCTCTCCTCTGCTTACATCCTCTCTCCAGCGGTCCCTCCCTTACTTGAGGTTCTCGCAGGGCGGATCTTCCCAGCCCAGCACGAAGAAGAGGGGATCCCGGCTGTTCCTCCACTGCCATTGGGTTGCCTGTGGAGGAGACAGGAGGTCAGCTGTGCCTGCCACCCTTTTGACCTAGAGCTAGGAGATTCCATACGCCCCTCTGAAATCCATAGGCTCCCCCAAGGGACCCCCAGGCAAACACGGAAGGCTCTCTCCCCCGGTTTGCAATGGGACTTTCACCCTTCTGACACCTTTGGGTTTCACCGTTTTAGAGGTGTCCCTGGCAAAGCTTAGGGGACTGACTTGCCCACTCAAGAGCAAGGTACCACAAGCAGTTCAGACGTTATGATGGGATGGGGGAAGCCATTTCCCCGCATCTTCGGCGGCGACCCAGCCCAGGCGCAGCGGAAACAGGGCATCCAGCCTGCACTCCCCCCGGGGCACAGAAGCGGCCCCGCCGCCTCCCGCACCCGGCCGGTGCCCGCGGAAGGAGGGCGCTGCAGGAAGGCCGGCGCGAAGGCGGAGCGAGCGCGGCGCCCCGGTGGGCCGGCAAGAGACCCCGCGGCGCCCGGGAGCCGCAGCGCACGGAGCGGCCCCTCGCACCCCGCGGCGGGGCCCTCCCGCCGTGCCCCTCCCGGCCAGCGCCGCGGCTTGGCCCACCTCCCCCGGCAGCGACCGATGTCGCGGTCGCTTTGCCCGGGCCTGCGCTCCCCACGAGCGACTCTCACGCGTCCTCCCCCGCCTCCGGGCTGCGCGCGGGAGGCGCGGTCACGGCGGGCTTCTCACGACCGCCTTTCCCAGCCTCTCTAGCAAGGGCAGCTCTGCTCATTTAACCCCCGCAGCGGAGAGCGGCCCCGCGCTTTCCCTTCCTTCCGACAAGCGCCTCGGCCGCCGCACTGCGCTCCGCCGGCGGGCGCGCTTTCCCCCGGGCCCGCTCGCCCCGCTCCCGACGGGAAGGCCGGGCTGCCTGGAAGCGGCCGGGCTGCCCCGCGTGGACTTACGAAGCACCCGAGCCTGAGCGCCTTCGCAGCCGGACCCTTCCATGAACTGGACCGCGCCTGCTCGCTGCTGGTGAGGAGGCCCAGTTCGTGGCTCGGCGCGGCAGCACACGGGCACGTCTGCTAAGGAAACAGGCTCCGCTTCCAATGTCCGACTTTGGAGGGCCGCAGTGCACACGAAGAAGCTTCCGGTCTTCAGTTGACGGATTTTTTTTTATCATTGAATTTCCCTGCTTTTTGAAAGTGGACTCTGGAAATGCTATGGACGTTATCTATCTTGACTTCAGCAAGATTTTGACAAAGTGCTCCATGATACCAAGATTAGCACACTAGCTAAAAGTGGGCTAGACAGAATCAGTCTCAAAGAGTGCTTCTCATTGGCACCTTCTCAAACTAAGAACAAATGGGGCACCACAGGGTTCAGTCTTGGGCCTGTGCTCATATTTTTATTAATGATTTGGATGAGGAAGTGCAGGGAGCAATTATCATATTTGCAGATGACACAAAATTGGGTGGGCTAGAGTTGTATGTGGCAAAGATTAAGGGACTTACTTCCCCACTTAAGATCCTGGAAGACAGAAACAAAATTCAAAGTGTTCTTTATAGACAGGAGCACTGGGCTGAAAACACCAGAATGACATTTAATACAGAATGACATGTAATGATGGGCAAATGCCAACTCCTGCACCAAGGAAAAAGAAAGCAAACCAGAAGGGCTGGAAGTTCCCTTTCTGGATCAGAGATCTACAAACAGGACACTCCAAATACACACAAAGCTCTTCCCACGTTTGACAGTAGCCTGTGATGCAACCCTGACAGAAGTTGTGGCCACAAATCCAAAGCCACGGGGTCTTTCAGATATTTCAGGCAGATGGGACACAAGACTTCTTGTTCCACAGCCACAAATGGTAGACCTGAGGCCATGGTGAAAGCCTCTAAGCTCGAAGGCAGAAGATGAAGCAGAAGACCAAATATGAGATGGATGGATTCCCTAAAGGAAGCCCCAGCCTTTACAAAAGCTGAGCAGGGCTGTCCTGGACTCTCATTCACAGGGTCGCTATAAATTGGAGCTGGCTTATTTATTTATTTAATCCATTGATATGCTGCTCCACTAGCCATAGGCTTTCTGGATGGCTTACAACATGTTAAAATCCAACATTATAAAACAGTACAAGCACAATATGATGTTCACTACAAAGGCCAATAATACTAAGAATAAACTTCGTGAGTAAATTAACAAAGTTAGATAAAACCAAAATAGGAAAAAGAATAGAATTAGTAAATACTAAATTTTAGCACTCCCTCTCTCAGGAATAAATCATAAACCATTAAAATTAACAACAAAGTGCTTGATAGAGCATAACAGCCATCAACATGCCATGCCAGGAGTTACAGGACACCTCTTCCCTGTCACCAGGCTGTGCTGACTGGGGAATGCTGGGAGTAGCAGGGCTTCTTTTCTTTCTAAACATGCATAAAATTGCAGTCCACTCTGTCCTTCCCATGAAGATTCTCCACACTTACCACCTGGGAGCAGCAAAGTAGAGTCTGTATGGAGATCTCTGGGGCAGGGGGTGGAGAGCAGCAAAGAATTTAAGTGGGTGTCCAGGCATCCATAGAAAGACCACATATAAGGCCTTGGGGGTTGCATGCCCCTTATGGGCTGTGGCTTGTCCACCCTTGACATAGATACTAGATGTTTAGCTGGATCAAGTCATAAGGGCCATACAACACTAGACCTTAAAGATCCAAATCTGCTGCCCTGAGACACTGTAAAGGGCGGGATACAATTTTTTAAAATGAATGAATGAATAAATAAATAAAGCAATTTTTTCAAGGTTGGTGTTGACCCATATATCATAATCTAGTCTGGGCTCCACTTATCTGAAGGAGCAACCCATCCCATAGATCACCCCCATGCCTTGAGAATTTCCAAAAAGGATTTATTATGTGGGTCCTTGCTGTTGTGATGTATGGCAAGCTGTCCAGAGATACAGAGAGTCTTTCTGGGTGGTGGCACCCCACTGATGAAATTCTCTGTGCAAGAGTTCCCTGGCACTCTCCCTCATCAGCTTTTAGGATACAGACAGAAAACTGTTTTATTCCAGAGAGTTTTTATCATGAATTAGGCTTTAATCACTGTGGTAGCATTTCCTTGTGAATGAGGAAGCCCACTCCATGGTAGCCATTTTGTGAATGAGCAAGTACTTTAAAGGCAACCATTTTGCTTTTTCTTCTTCTGCCACCCTTCTTCCATCCCCTTTATAGAAGGGCTTCACTTCAGAATTCAAGGCAATTTCTCCAGTACCTCATTTCCAGCTCTATACAGTTACTGACCCCAGTGGGGCTTATTTCTGAGAAGGCATGTATAGGATTGTACTGTCAATTGTTTCTGAAATCACAGAATAGAAGTCCAGTAGAACTGTGTTGTGTCAAATGGCTCAGTGTGTAATTATGGGATCCACTTCTGTTGCCACAAAGTAACATTTAAAATACTGTCCAAAAATTGAGCTGGGGAGTTTATTGCTCTGGAACTTTTCAGACAACTTCCTAACTTGTGGGATTTCTGCATGTTAGTAGCCTTGTGATCAAGCATTCCTTAGGGTACAACCCTACTGAAGTTTACACAGAAGAAAGTCCTACATCTCCCACATGCCACAGCTGTGCCTTGCATTTTTCTAGACACTTGTTTTCTGCCAGCTAGATTTAGGGCCAGTGAGGGGGAGGGAAGAAGGCTGGGAAATTGACTGGCACTGGTGCAACTCCACAGGCCCTGCTCCTTGGCTCATCTCCCTTTACCCTCCTCTAAAGCCCATTTATGGCCAGGAAGAGAGCTAAAGACATAAGACATGGAATGTCTATTTATCATTGCATTTAGTTGTCCCTGAAAAAGTGTCTAGCTGGCCCTGCCTATGCACTTTTCAAGCTCAGCAATGGTTTAAGCTCAAATTTTACCTGATTGTGATCTTTAGTTCTTCATGCTTTGGCATGGCAGCCTGTGAATTTGGTTGATTAAATCAATCAGCAGAGAACGCAGTAGTCCAACATATTTTACAATTTTTGGCTTCTGCCTCACCATCACACTGGCACTGCCATGTCCAAGAAACAGGTGCAGATATGGAGTATATGGCCATCAGCTTAATTCCCATGGTCCCTATTAAGTACTATGAGATGGAATAAATTGGGTTCAATCAGCAGGGCTACTGGAGAAAGGACAAAACTTGCTCCCATCTCAAGGCAATCTATCATCATGACAGATATCACAAGTAGGTACATATTGCAGAGGCAAAACAGTCTTCAAAAGCTGATCTTTTGACTTTTTAAGTACTGATTCTTTTCAGAGAGAAAGGAGGACCTTCCTTTGCTGGCCTGTTTCCCACCAGCTTATCCCCATCACCATCTGTTTTAGCAGTAGTGGTCTTCAGCAGTTGGTTCAACTTAGCAAGCAATCTCATCCTGAAGAAGGTTTTCTTTTTCTTTTTCTTTTTCTCTTCAGCTCCAGCCAGTAGGTAACTTCTCTCAGGCAGTCAAACACAGTCCTGGGCAGGATGAGTAAGGTGGTAGCTTGACCCACTTGCCTGGGCAGCATGTCTCAGCATCCATCTTTTGCTAGTCCCTAGCACTGAAGTCTCCCAAATCCCAGTCCAAAACTCTAACCATTATACTACACTGGCTTTTATTTTTTTGTACTGAACAAGAATCAATCCTTCTGTTTCCTAACATTTCATTCAGTTTTCAGGATGCTCAACAGTGCTTACCACCCCAGAAATGGATGGAAAGCTTAATGGCCTATAACTTATGCTTCTGTTTTTAAAAGGGAGGAACACCATATATTGCATATATGCAAATATGTGTAATACATCCTCAACACAGTTCACCTCCATTTTAAAATGCTTTGAGAGGGGAACATTCAGAGCAGGAAACTGGCAGGGAGGGAAGACAGCTAAGACTTTTTTTATTTTTGCACAGGCCATTTTCTCACTCCAATTCCTTCCTCCCACAACCTGATTTTCATATCATGGAGTTCTATATGCGTCTTTACATGCATGTGCCTGGGGAAGCATTTAGCAAAAGAAGAGTAAATTTGTAGCAGGAAAATACCCACATGGAATGGTTTAAGTATGCTGCTTTCCCTTTCTCTCCTCTACTCAAAATCAGCCACATTGAAAGCTGCTTTTCATTATAGTATAACCATAATAATTAGTAGTAGTAAAGAAAAGGAGATACAAACTCATACATAAGGTTGCTGTTAGATCTGAAAACTATTATTCCAAAACATAATAAAGACTGTCTTTGATTTCTGAAATAACTTTTGGAAAACAATGTCACCTGGGAGTTACATAGGATTTTTCTCAGTGGTTTGTAGCTGCCACTGAAAAAGTCAGAACCAGATCTAAATAATTCAGTTCAGCCCCATCTTGTCAATAACCTAATCATTTGGAGGGGTAGGGGCATTAAGATGAAAGTGATTTCACAAATCTTGATCATATTTTTCTTCAAAGAGTTTGAATAGGGCAAAACTACAACAAATCTGCAAATAATTTTTGTAAGTCAGTTATATCTGTAAGTCTTATAAACTGCAATAAATAGCACTGAATATATAGGGTGTGGAGTACTACTGGGAAATCCAGAAAACTGTTCCAGGGAAACCTGCTTTTCTTGAAGTAAAAATAGCACCAGGACTTTGTGAATCATATTTGTATAATAGAGTATCTTGCTACCCTTTTAGATGACCCACTAGATTCCTTATAACAGAATAGTTCTATATCATACGAATATTGATAGGTTACAGAATGTTTAGGGTTATTCTGACTTTTAAAAATTGATTCTGTTCAAATAACTGCTCATCTGCATTTGTCAAATAAGGGCTGATATTTCTTGACAACAGCACATAATCCACCCACCATGACCACAGCTAAATCTATGCAGAGGTAAAGTTATAAAATATAATAGCAATGAACATAAAAATAGAACTATTAAAGTATTTGGCAAATAAAGTTTCACCTGGTGCTGGAAAAAACGAAGAGGGGTGCCAGGCGCACGTTTCTGGAAGCTGATTCCACAAAATTTTGTTGAAGGGGAAGAAGGCTCTCAGGAAGGGACCGGGCCTAAAGCGAGCCTGGAGGAAGCCGGGCCCGAGTTTCTCCTTTCTCCATCTCTTCTTCCAGGGCCTCCCCGTCCTTCTTGGTCCTGGGCGTGCTCGTGTGTCCTTCAAGACCGGCCTTTGCTGATCCTGGCCGTTTCTCTCCCTTTCCCCGCTTGCCAGAGAGGCCTGCCTTGCAATGCAAGCCCCAGCTAGGATCTCTGAATCCACAGGCATACTTACTCGGAAGTAAAAAGCCCCAGCAAGTGAAAGTTGTCACGCTAAGACCCCATGTAATGTTTGCGCATGTTTATTCAGAAGTTAAGCCGTTTCCTCAGATTTCAGTGGGAGCTGCTCCCCAAGGTATTGTGGCTAGGCCTGCAGGAGTAAACTTACAGGCCTTAACTGGCAGTTTTACAAGGTCCATCCCAGCCACAGCTTTCCCTGTTAACTCTGTCCCTGTTTGCTTATTTTTTAAACATATTTAATCTCTGCTTTTCTTCTAAGATTGTTTCCTAGAGAGCTAAGCAGTGATGATTGGGGTACTACTGAAAGACTGCAAGGCTGTGGCCAGAGTAGGCCCCTCAAATGCCATCTCTTTCTTTGTGTGATGTATTTTTTCCTGGCTGTGAGTGGGTTCATGTCCTCTGAGGCCTACTGTTTCGCTGGGGGAAACCCTCGTTCCAATGGGTGATGAAAAAAAGGTAGTTATTAGGGGGTGAGGGGAAGAGGGAGTCTGGCGTGAGCCCACAGCAGGGTGGCCACTTACACATGTTCCAAAAAGAGGAAACAGGTTGGGCTAACATTTGCATGTGCTCCTTCATATGGACAGGTGCATATTTTGAAATAATGGCTGCAGTGTAAACAGAAATAAAGGACTATAATGGAGAAAACTGGGACCAGGTGATTCATATATCTTGCTCAGTCTACTTTTTGGGGGGCTTAGAGGTGGGCCCCTTCAAGGCACCTGCTTCCCTTTCAGATATATTATTTATATATAAACCAGACATGAAGACTTCAAACAGAGGGAGACTTTACATAGAATATCAGCCTCTCTTAGCTGTTCAAACTGAGCAGGGGAGGGCCACTTACAGCCTTCCAGATGTTTCAGCCAATTACTCTAGCTAGCATGGAGAGTAGTGTGGATGATGGGTTGAACTGTAGGCCAGAACATCTGGAGGCCATAATCGACTGTCCTCTGTAAACTGCTCAATGTAGCAGTGTGTGTAGAGTACAGCACAATAACAGATTATCAACAACTGGCCAAGCTGCTGGCTTTCGTCTTCCCTGCCTCCCTGCCCCTTCCAGAATGCCCTTTTCTACTATACTGCTGGAACACCTGTGGGTGTGCATGATCAAGCTTCTGTGTAGCCTGAAGTGCCTGATACTGTCTAATCTTGCCCAGTGTTGGAAACTAAGCAGTGTCCGGCCTGGTGGAAATCTGGATGGGTGAGTCCTTCATTGAACAGGGAGTTGGACCTGATGGCCTGCTAAACCTGTTCTACCTGTATGATTTACGGTAAATATATACCTTCGAAGCGTTCCAAGCATGTAAGTGGTCCCTCTGGGGTAGCTAGTCCCTGGTGTGACTCTCTGCACCCCTCTTGAATGGCTGTCCTGAGGATTTTTTGTCTTCTGTTTTGATATGTATATCATTTATAAGTGTCACATATTCTGCAAAGCACTAAAGTCTGTCAAAGCTGTCAGCATGATATAAGAACCCATGTTCTGGCATTGGCTACAGTCCAAAATAGCCAAACAGCTTTCTTCACCCCTACTCAAGCAGGCGGAGTGCAACTATGAGATAGCACCAGTAGCCATGCTTGTTTAAGCAAGTATCCTTTGATCATTGGTGCATGCCCAGGAAAGAAAAGGTTAGAGTAACCTTCCCCAAACCTTGTGCTCTTCAAATGCTTTGGGCTAGAGTTCCCAAGGTTTTTGGCCATGCTGGTTGAGGCTGATAGGAGCTGAAGCCCTTAACAACTCGAGAGCACCAGTTTAGGGAAGATTGGCCTCAAGAAGGGGTCATCTCCTTCATCGGGAAGGAAAATCCAGTAGTGAAGATTTGTTAGTGATTATTTCATAGCTGTTGCTTCTTTCTCTAGCTCATTCCTGCAGATTCTTCTATCAGAGAGAGGACAATAACAGCAGGAGACTCCACTCATCATGGCCTCGCACCCAACCGTTGGGGATTTGAAACAGGATGCACTCTGTCCTCAGTGCAAGGGGTATCTGAAAGACCCAGTGCTGATGGAATGTGGTCACAACTTCTGTCGGGACTGCATTTCCAGCTATTACCAGAAATGGAATAAAAAAAGCACACCCGTGCAGTGTCCTGTTTGTAGCAAGCCACTTAAGGATGGAAAGCTCCGGCCAAACGAGCAGCTGGGAAATATAATAGAAAAACTCAAGCATCTTCCACCAACACTAGGGAAGGACTACCTCTGCCCAAAACATAAGAAAAAAATGGATTTGTTTTGTGCAGAAGATGTGGAACCAGTGTGTTTTCTTTGCAAGCACTCTCCAGAACATAAACTGCACACATTGCTTCCTCCAGAAGATGTTGCTGAACAGTACAAGGTATGAATGTGTGAGGAGTCCTCAACCTCTTTAGGTTAGTGGACACGTGTGAAATTTTAAAGAGTATTCTGGGTGCTTACAAAATGGCTGCCATGGGGACCATGGCCAATCACAAAACTCTCATTTCTCGGAAGGCATCTGGTACATGTAAAATAAAATTTTAAAAAAGTTAGCCAAGAACTAAGTAAAAACAGAAATGGGAGCTAACCTTTAAAATTTCAACCACTCATGAACTGGGGGGAAAAAAACCCCGATGACACTGGAGAGCAACATTTTACAGCATGTTTGGCCTCCCATTTAAAAAAAAAAATGAGGGGATGTCAAAAGAGGTTTCTTAGGCTCACTGGCCCAACAAAGATCCCATATACTTTGCTCCTTGAGTTACACAGTGGAAGAAAGGAGGGATGTACGTATTATAAAAAAATAAAATGACAACCTGAATAGGAAACCTCTGGCCCATCAGCTGGATTTGGGCTGCCAGGCCTCCCCATCTAGCCTGTGGATACCTCTATAGGGTCTTCTTCCTGAAGCACTGGCCTACTCCTAAACTGCTTTTAAAGAGGTCCCTCTTAGAGACTGGGGAGGAGGGAGAAGAATGGCTCCAGGCTGATCTGCAGCCTCAAGGAAAGCTCCTGAAGGCCAAGACCTGGTAGGCTTTGCTTTTCCTTCATCTTTCACCAGTCGGAGAAGGTGAGAAACAAAGTTCCTGACTGTGCTGGTAGTCTGAAGAATAGTCCCTTGAGGGGCCAGTTCACCAATTCAATGAGGTTTGCTGAAGGTGTGTATAGGTGAGTGAAGGCCAATGAATTCAGTGTACAGACGAGTGCATGGTTGTCAAGTGGGCTCCAGCTAAGTGTGTTAGACTCTCTGGTCCTCAGTGTGCTTGCCTGGAGCCAGTTTGGCCTTCAGCACATGAAGTGTTTTCCAGATTTATAGCCTTTCCCCTTCCAAAGCTGAGTCTAGTTATCTTGTGCAGTAAGCAAGATAAACATCTGGCTAGGAAGGTTTAAACTCCTATCCATGTGAACTGGTCTCAATCCAGATTGGGACTTACTGACTGAAGTGAATAGAAGAGTGAGGACCAGGTGTACATGACTTGTTTGTATAGCATGCGGCTTACTCCTGAAAGGCCAATAAGCTGGGAGGAAGAGAGCAGTGAAGTAGATGAAGACTGGAAGCACCTTGTGCAGTAGGGTGGGTCTCTCTCTGGGCACTTGGTGTGGGGCAGTGGGACAGCTGCTTCATCAGAGTGCTCTTCTGCATCTTGCAGGAGTAGAGACTGCACAACAGAGTGTTTCTTCTATTTCTGATTCTCTTTTATATTGTATTTCATCTGTTTTTCTTTTATATTGCATTAGATGGGCTTTTAATGGACCTTCCTCATAGATTTATCTATGTTTGGTAAAGAACAAAAGAGAGGCAATATATGTGATTTAGAAAATTAGTGAATAATTTAGTAAAAAGGAACCGTATTTGCTTGTTCTCCTTTGTTTAGGATCAGATACATAGCCGCTTGGCACTTCTGGGGAAAACGAGAGAAAATGTGGAGTCATCTTCACCATATGATGAAAAAGAAATCCAAGCCATGCTTGTAAGTCTTACTATTAGCAGGATGTATAAAATACATGAGCCAATATCTTAAAAAAAAAAAACTAACAGAGAAAGGCTACATGGCAGCTGAGCTGCTCCTAAGAACTTCTCTTATCTGGTATGGTAAGACATTTCATAGCAAATATTTCTGAAAGGCTGCTGTAAAGGTGGACCCCTCTGAATCTAAATGGTATAAGCTGCTTTAGGTAACTCCTTTTTAAAGGGGAAAAAGCAAGATTTAAATTCCTCTCTCTCTTTCTCTCTCATACATGCATGCATGCATGCACACAACCTGCAGGAGCAGAAGTGTGTATGTGCGTGTATTTTATTATTTCCTTGCCTGAGTTTCTGAATGCTGTATTTATTAAATGACTTGGTGTTAAGTTCTGAACTGAAGGTTTCAGGGTGATATTCAGGACTGAAAAGATCTGGGGCTTAGGCCCACAGGTCAACTCCCACTTTAATATGTATTAATTTATATATGCTCAAAAGTCTGTGTGTGCAAGTGTGGTGCGCTTGGGTGCCTTTAAAGGACCTTGTCTCCTAAACACACTTCTGTTTGTAAAAAGAAATAAACCAGGGAGAGAAAAACATTTAACTTCAGAAAGGGGGAAAAAACCTCAGAAAGATTCAAGGGTGGGACAGCAGGAGGTAAAGCAAATGTTGGCAAAAAGCCAGCTAATTCTGAGGGATCAATGCAGCAGCGATCACAGGCCCCTGTGCCTGTATTTGAGTGAGTGCCCACAGCCAGCCAGATGGCAGGCAGATAACCTTCTTGAAATTCAGGGCTCCATTTGCAAGATTTGGGGCTCTAGTGCTCATGGGTTACCCCTTAACACTGCCTCTGGGAAGCTATTTGTAGGTTTATTGTACCAGTTGTCAGATAACATTTCTTATTGTTTGTCTTTTGGATTATTGTCCCTGATTTTGGATCATGTTAGCTACTTTGGGCTTCTGTTCTGAGGAATTCAGGTTAAAATGGATAGTGATGATGGTGTAGGAGAGAGTAGCTGGTTTGAGACCCAATGATTGGCTCAGCCTGTGGTTGGTCAGGAATCCCTTCTCATATACTTCTTATGACCTAGTTCTTGATGGCAATACTACCTTGATTATATTGCTGAGGCTGTCCTCTCCTGTTTCCAGTCTTTTCCAACCTGCTTGTTGTAGGAAGTAACAAAAGCAGGGAACATGAAAGGGCCATGTTGATAGTCGCTCAAAGTCGAAAAAAGCACCCTCCGTCTAGAAGTCTCCTCCTTAATGCTCCAGCTACTGGTGCAAAGACTGACTGTGAATTCCTGGCATTGGGCTTCTTTTCTTTATTGCAGAGCCGGATAGAAGCAGAGAAGAGAAAGATAGAGACGGAATTCAATGACCTACGTGCATTTCTGGATGAGAACGAGAAATTTCTACTGGACCACATGAAGGCAGTGCAGAAGGAAGTAACAAAAAACAGGAAACAGCACATTTTGGAAGTCTCAGAGGAAATCTCCTCTCTTCGAAATACCATCCGGGAGATGGAAGAGTCGTGCAAGCAGCCACCGATTGAATTCCTGCTGGTAATGCGGTGGGGGGGGGGGGAGAAAGAGCCACTTCTTGCTTCCTCTCTGCTGAGCTGAGTACAGGGTTGGGAAGACGCAGTGGCAGGGAAGGCGTGGAGGGGGGCAGCAGGGGCCCTGGTGGGTGCCCTTGGGGGTCCTGGCAGGAGCTGTGGTGCCATGATACCAAGTCACTAACCAAGTTCTATAGATACCTTTACGGCATTAGGTTAAATCATCCTGATCTTATAATGGTTAGAATATTCAAACATTATCACTTCCTTTAACAGTGAACACAGGTGGTGAATGTTCAGCCAACCAGAGTCACAACAGCCCTAGTGAGAAACAAGAGGGAGGAATTGGCATGCTTAAGGAAACCACAAATATCAAAAGTATTAAAACAAAAAACCCACACCTTAACAAAACAAAACAAAAAACAAAACTACAGTTCTGCTGTCTTCCATGGCCCAGTGAAGACTGGACATGTTCCGTTGCCTTGCAAACAGAGTTCAGTATCTTGGAGGAGAGGATAGTTGCCACCCGTTCAGGAACAGCCTACCAGGTGTGCTCCTGCCCAGGACACATTGCGGTGCCCCACGTATACTAACTAATGCTGGTTGGCCATTCCCATGCCTGTTCAGGAAGAACTTTGCTGGATCAGACCAAACGTCTGTCTCATCTCCTGATCCCCATATTCAGAGCAGACATTTTTGTTTCCTCTAGTTTTCATGATCATGACTGATGTGCCACACAAGTTGGTGTATGGGAATTGGGGGCTTGAATCTCAGAATTGTATATTTATGGCAGAGCAGACATCAGTTTGAAAAACACATGCAAGGGGAAAAAAGGGCTATTAGCAGCTTCTCAAGATAACTGGAAATTGGGGTGGTACACAAGGGAGGATCACTTGTTTTAAAAGGGGTGTGTGTGTGTGTGTGTGTGAGAGAGAGATTTGAAAATTTATGTTTCAATGTTTATGTATGTTTCAAATGTTCAGTTTCATGTTTTTAATGCTTGAGTTTGTACATACATCATGAAGGACACTAAAAGGGCTTCAACTTGTTTGCTGACACATACATTTTCCCCATCAGAAGCCATTTGTCTCCTGGTGGGAAAACTGGTCCTTCAGTGTGCTAAGTAGATCAACTCCTTCTGGACAAGGGAGTGTGCCACCATTTAGGGGGTCTTCATAGCATTTAGGCTGAGGCAGGCATTGAACTCCATCTTTCTCTCTCTTTTCCCTCCAGGATTTTAAAAAAAACTTGCAGAGGTAAGTGCATCACACTCATTTCTCTCCATAACACCATCAAGGAGCCTTCTATTCCCTGGCAACCTCCAGTTATGTTTGATTGCAGCTCGCATAATTTCTAGTATGGCCAGTGGGGAGAGGTAGGCCACCCTGGCTGTGGATGATAGGAGGTACAGCAGGCACATCTGAAGGGCAGCAGGATGAGAGAGATTAGACTAGGAAGACCCACTGGCCATCTTGATTACAGCCTTCTCTGGGAACCCTCCGTGAAGAATATTAGGTGGGTGAGTACCTGGAGGAGGGCCTTCTCTGCGGTGGCGCCCCACCTATGGAATGCGCTCCCCAGAGAGGTCCGCCTGGCACCGTCATTATTTGCTTTTCGGCGCCAGGCGAAGACCTTTTTATTTAAAAGTTGTTTTGTTAATTTATTATTATTGTATTTATAGATTTTAATATATATAGCTGAGATGGTACCAGTTTTAAATTATTGATTGTATTTTTATGTTTATTTTATGGATGTTGTGAGCCGTCCCGAGGCTTTGTTGCAATGGGGGTGGCATAGAAATGTTTTAAATAAATAAATAAAGTTGCTTTTTCTTGTTATGTGGGACCAGAACAGCTACTGGAAAGTGTGCACCATTTATGTCTTGGGTGGTATCACAGCTAGGCCTTAGGCTGCAGTCTGTGGTGAGCTATGATGTGGTAATGAGGACCTGTGGACGTGCCAGTTCCTTAGATGCTTAGGCAGAACTGAAGACCAATGAAAGGATGCACAATACAGGGACATGACAAAATCCAGGAAGCAAGTTGCTGCACATAGAATAGTAGAGTTGGGAGGGGCCTTGAAGGCTATTGGGCCCACCCCCTGCTCAGTGCAGGGCACCAGTTTACACCATCCCACTGATGAGGCTCCCCTAGAACAGAAAGCCATATTATACTCTCCCTGCACCAGAGGATCTAATAACTTGCCTGGGTGGGTATGATTGGTCAAGGGCTTCTGGGATTGCTAATCTGTCTAGGCCTACCTTCTCCATCCTAGCTGTCTACAGATGCCTGGACTTCAACTCTCATCAGCACCAGCCAGCATGGCCAATGGTCAGTGCTAGGAAGTATACTTCCAAGCATTTGTGGGATGCTAATTTGGGGAAGGTTGGTCTAGTTCCAGACATAATGACGAGTGCTCTGGGCAACCCCTTTCAAAAGAGAACCTCTGCAGCTTTTTGTGCAGAAGTGGACGTTACGGTATGAGGTATATTCCTGCTACCTCCCGGCATTCAAAATGACCAGTTGCGATCAGAAGAGAGAGTCAGTTGTCTCCTCTCCACTGCCCTCTGGTAACATCCTGAGCAGGAGTCCCCAGAGGGGGTACTGTGGGTACTTCCAGGGGGTCCTGCAGGGGGTTTCCAGTGTCATACCTGCAGGCACCTACGTTTTCACACTGATTTTTTTCCTGAGTTTTAATATATGTGCATGGATTTGTGTAAAATGCATGCAGCTTTCAAGCAATTATACATTGCGTTCAACAAAAGCTGACCAAATATTGAAGTTGGCATCTGTATGCTGACTGTTCATATATTCAGAACACTAGGTTTTCCATCCATTGCATTATAAGAGATGAGTATATATCCTTTCTACTAAAAGACCTTTAGTTGTCAAAAAGGTGCAGAGAATCCATTTTCTTCTCCATTTTTTAAAATTTCCATGAAACAGGTGAATGAAAGTATGTACATCTGTGACTATTAAAGCCAGTTCCACTTATCTGCAAAAACCTGCAGTTACTTGTAACGATGAAACTTATCTTTAAACGGCAGATTCAGCTGTTTTGTGCTGCCAACCATTAGTTGACTTCAACAGTCCCATATTAAAGAGACATTAAGGTGACAAGTGAACCAGAACAAACATTTTTGCCGAGTAAGATGCAGCAAAATCCATAGAGATCTACAGAGACAACAGATGCCGAAGCAGCAATCCACTGATGAAGCATTTTATGTTGGTGCCTACAGGAGTTTCTCAAATTCCCAAATTTGCCCATGCATTTGGAGAGGTTAGGGACTCTGATCTAGAGAAGAAAATGTTTGCTGTAATTTGTTACACTTAAAAGTCTTGACTAGCGTGGCTTAAGCACCCAGGAGCAACGGTAGAGCAGAATCTCTCGAAAGCACTTCATTCCTTACTGCCTTTCTGCCGTTTTCTTCCTCCAGTTTCATTTCTTGACTGTACTCAGGATTCTCAATGGATTGTATGGCAGGTCAACACTCTCTTTCTCTCACTAGGTGTGATAATATGCTTAAGGACCTAATTTCTCCTTTTGAGGCAAGGTGGAAGGTCTGGGATTTCTGTGATGTGACTTCTGCTGTGGAGCGTATTTCAGAAGATTTCAAAGGTAAGCAAGAATGTGTGCCAAGATTTAATGCCATACCATGGCATGGAGCATGGTGGGCTTTTAACCATTAGACAACCTGTGGCAGCCCCATCCTCACATTTTCCAGCCTCTTCCTGAAGGTGCAGCTTTCAGTAAGAAAGCCAGAACCAGAGTAAGTCTCTCTTTGGAGATACAAAACAAACTGATGGCATTCTACTCAAATCTTAGAAGTTGACTTTGAGTTGTGAGGGTGTCCAGGGTCTCTTCCCAGTCTTCTGGCTAGTGAGTGACAAGGTACTGGGATACTTGACAGCAAGCATAATGGGTGCACTCATTAATTTTTGCATTTCTACTCTGCCCATAGCCAGAGTTTCTCGAGCAGTTTACAAGGATTTGGCAGCTAAGGGTAATCAATAAACCATGGCGACTTGTTAACCACCTTGCACGAACTGGTCAGGTGCAGGTTCTCATGTCATCCGAACCCATTAACAGTGGCTTGTCGGGGTGATTAACAAACCATCCAGAACCCATGGCCTACCCCAGCAAGTCACACTTGCCAGATTTGAACAGCATGGGAGTGAGCTCTCGAATTGGTATCCTGGAGTCCAATCTATTATGCCTTAAATAAGGAATGGTAGGCTGGCGTGATCATATGAACCAGGTTATTCTAATTTCAAAATTACAGTACACATTATGAAACCATTAGTATATGAAATATAAAACAATTTTAAACAATGAACAGTAAAAATCCCAGGACTTATCAAACATCATATTTTGTCAAATGTCTGTGAACAGAGAAGAATCTTAACATGGCTCTGGAAAAATGATGACCTTGATGCTGGGTGGATTTCACTGAGGACAGTAATTGGGGGTGGAGGGCAGCACCATGAAGGCCCTCTTGAAAACAGTCCGACATTACAACTCATACAGAACAGCATGGTGCAGCTGCTTACGAGGACCCGCTGGCAAGAACATATTACGCTGGTCCTCCATCAGCTGCATTGTCTCCCTGTGCCAGTCTGGACCCAATTCAAAGTGTTGTCTTTGACATATAAAGCACTAAACAGCTTGGAACCAGAGTACCTGAGGGAGCGCCTCTCTCTGTATATCCTTACCCCTCCACTAAGATCCTCTTCGGAAGTCCTCCTCCATGTGCCCTCCCCTAGTGAGGGGAAAGGGGAAAGGGCTCGGAGGAGGGCATTCTCAGCAGTAGCGCCTAGACTGTGGAATTCACTCCCCAGGGATATCCGTCAGGTGCCTACTCTTCTTTTGTTTAGGCACCAGGTGAAAACTATTTTTCTAGTCTTCCTTTTCTTCCTCTGCCTTTGACTTTCCCTGGCATAATTGTCTTCTCCACTTGCCTTCTCATGATGTGTCCAAATTATGAATAAATATAAATAAGGATAAAGATGCATAAAGAAATATAAATAAGTATAAACATTACAACTTTGTTGCACTCTGTCCCTATTTTCTCTCCTTTAGATTTCTCTCCCCTTCTCTATATTTTTGTGTTTGCAAACTTTGTTATAGGGTCTGGGGTTTAATCTTGTTTCTTTTTCTTCCTTAGATGCTATGACATCTACACTTCAACTGCATGAAGGTAAATTTTAGGGGCTGATAGAGTGCTATATTTTAGGAGGAGAGAAGGAGATTTAACAGAAAAGTAGTTTGTTTTATTTTATTGGAATTCCGCTGCTCCATTGAGGATTCTAGAACCATTGGTGAGTTAATAGTGCAAATAATAATCAAGAGTTCGGTTCCTAGCTATGCATGATTTCAGTGTTTGTTTTTTTTAACATGTCCTATTGACAGAAGAGTTGCCCTGCTGGATAAGGCTGCAGTTCAGTCTTGTCTGCTGTCACAGTCTTTTGTTCTAAATTAACAGCACCATGTAGCTAATCAGCATTGGTGTTAAAAGCCCTTTAAAAGTGTGTGTTTCAGCAGTTACTCAGACTTAATAAGCAGAGAACTAGTTTATTCATGGAAACAGTTCATTAACTGTGGATTGTTTATATAGTGAAGGACAAGTATGTGATCATGCTGGCTTCCACTTGCTCATCCATTCCCACTGAGCTGAACAATTCAGAACAACTTCTGGTTTTATGATATCCGAACCCCAAATTGGAGGCGGTTGTGGGAAGCACAGGCCAGGTTTGCAACCCTAGAACAACCCATGCTTGATTCAGCAAGTGCAGGTGTGTGGGAGCCAGCAGGCCTGCTTGTTTCCATTCATTCAAAGCGACCTAGTGACAGGAGAACTAAGACAATGTGTTGGTCTAAGGAGCAGTGAAACAAACAATAAACTGTGATCTAGGATGAATGCAGTTAGAACAGCCTTCCATAACTAGGTGTTCTCCAGGTGTCTTGAACCATCAGCCTCACAACATGGTTTTTGGTCAAGAATTCTGGGAATGGTGGTCCAAAATGTCTGACAGGCTGGGGAAGGCCGGGTTAGAGCTAGCAGTCTCTTAAGCAAATCCCCCCTCCCCAGCTAAACCGTTTTTACCCCCTTCCATCTGTCAGCTGTTGTTTCATGGTTCCTTCAGCTCCTCACTCACACTACTCTAATTTTCCATATTTTTTCACCCCCTCTCCTCTGAACACACACCTCAAATATTAGATATCCATTCTGTTTCCAGTAGCAGCCACAGAAACCTTTGGGATGCCCAAAGTCAGGACAGCAACAGCTCCAACCCACCTACAAAGATGCCATATTGTTTACCCTGATGTTTAGCAGTTGGAGGCAAGCTTCTGTAACCATTTGCATGGAAAAACTCTTCATGGCATTTCTCACAGGCAGGAAGCTTAACAAATATTAGCACCTTTAAAAAATTGTGTTAACTCATTAAGATACATCACATATAGTGGCCAGTTTTTAAAAAGTGTGGGCCTTTTAATGGATTTCTTTGCTCCCGTGGAATCTCTGAAAATGCAGATTTCATTGAGATAATACCCACTGCTGAATTACCTCTTGCCTTGCTCCATCCTTCTCCACCTCCTTTCAGAGGTGGTGTCTGGAAGGCACAAGGCTGGGAAAGGCTGACTTAAATGATACAAATGGTAAATCCCCATTGCCTCATCTCATATTTGCCTGAAAAGCACCCCAGCCTTTCATTGCTCAGGTTAGCACTTAGCTTGCTTCTCTTGTTTGTGGATTGCAGTTTTTCTTTTCTTCCTTTTCACAATTGCATACAGACCCTCACGTGTTTCTTCCCTAAGACAGGGAGACTCCAAAAGATATGCCCCCTTACCTTTTCACCATTCAAAACTTTCCAAAGATCTCTTGGTGTGAAGAAAACTTCTTTCTGTAATTTGCTGTCATAAAGAGACATCCTTTGCTATTCTCTCCCATAACACTCTTTTCTTCATACTCTAAATAGTGGTCTAGCATTGCTCCAGAACAAACTCACAATTATAAATGTGCTCAGATAGCACTCCTGTAGTAGTATTTTTAATTAAATAAAATCTGGGTCAGGATAATGTGGAGAGCATTTCGTCCCTTTGCCCATGACTAGCTTGCTGTCAGCTTTTGCTGCGACTTCAGGCTAATGCCTTCTTCCAATATGGAAAACAGGTCGAATACCCCTGCCCTCTGGAATGCAGTGCCTTGAAGTCCTCTTGATTTGGAAGAGAATATGATTCCAGCCAGTTTCATGTCACAATTCCCTTTATAACCTTGGGGGGGGGGGGAGTTCTTCAATTTTAAGCTTTTCTATCTGTTTAATTTGCAGTTTCTATTGGTTTCACTGGAGAGTTGACTGGAGCACTATGTGAATTGTTCCTTTTCTGCCTTTCTGTACTTTTCTGCTGTATAAACTCTAGATGGCATGGTAGCATAGCAGAATAACAGAAGTACAGCAATCTGGATTAGCTTTTCATTCCATCAAAACAAATGAGAAAAGCACAATAAAAATATCATAAAACCAAAAAAACTATTTAAAAGTTTTAAATGGTGAAAAACAAATAAAAACTCCTGATCCCACAAAAGACTCCGCACTTGTCCCATCTCTGGGAACTGCCTCCTAGAACATATCTCACGGTTCCTTCTGATCTCTCCTTGAAACCCACCTTTCTTCATTTCCTTTGGCCTGATCCCCTAATTGTCGCAATTCTGCCAGTAGCTAAGCTTTTCTAAATGAGGTTGTTATTGGACACTTGTCATTTCTCATTTGCTGTAGTTTGAGCGCGTCTAATAATTTTGGCACCCTACAGTTCTTCTCCTGAGTTCTCTCACCACCTTTCTAGGGCATCTCTTTGGAGTGGAGAAAACGTGGTCTTGTTTGGAATCACAAGCCACAAGGGCACCATCCACAAGTACTGCTGTGTCATTCCTCTCAGGGCCACCCAAAGCAGGCTGAAAAGCATTGCAAACAGGATCAGACCAAGGGGCCCTGCAGTCCAGCAGTCTGTTCACACAGGACCTCTCCCACTCAAGCTCCCAGCAACTGGCTTACGCACACTGCCTCTGATCCTGGAGGAAGCCCTGCTTAGAAAAGCTCACTTGCAGCAGAAGGAAGTGCACATTTCTCCTCTTTTTACCTCTGCTTCCACTTCCCTTCCTCTATTGTCCTGGTGTTGACTTTTAGATCTTAAATTGCTGAAGAGAAGGATTTGTTTTCTTATAGGTCATAAAGTGCCATGTGCACAGAGGACGTTTACTCATTAATTTATCTTCTGCCTTATTTTTACAAAGAACTCAGAGCGGCTTACATCATTCTCTTCCTGCTGCTCTCAGTCTTATCCCCACAACAATAACCCTGCAAAGTAGGTTGGGTAGGTTGAGAGCCTGTGAATGACCCACAGTTACCCAGTTGGCCCCATGGCAGAGTGGGGACTAGAACCCAGATTGTCTGAGTCCCAGACCCACATGCTTAACTAATATACCACATTGGCATGCTCTCTCTTACACACACACACACACACGTCTTAAACTTGCAATTGATGATGCCTGTTTTCTTCCCTCTTCTTCCTGCACCCCCAACAGCAGATGTAACTCTGAAGCCAGAAACGGCTCATCCCCAACTCGTCATATCCAAGGACTGCAAAAGCGTGCGAATGGGCGAGGTTTATCGAAGCCTGCCCAGAAATCCAGAGAGATTCGATGAATGGCCTTTTGTACTGGGAGCTGAGGGATTTGTATCGGGCAGACATTTCTGGGAAGTAGCTGTGGCACGTGAGGATGCGTGGGGCGTGGGGGTTGCCAGAATGTCTGTGGCAAGGGCTGGGGATATTGATTTCAGTCCTGAGCAGGGCTTCTGGGCTGTGGGAAAGTGGGAAGGTAACTACACAGCCTACAACCCCCCTTTTTACACTGCTCTGACCTTGCATAGGGTGCCTAAGCGGATACGTGTGTCCCTGAACTGTGATGGGGGGTGGGTGACCTTTTTTGATGCTGACACAGCATTACCCGTCTTTACATATTCTGCCTCATTCTCTGGAGAGACGATTTTCCCCTTCTTTTATGTTCACGGGAGTGCCCGCCTCAGCATCTCTCCTGGAGCCCACCCTGCTTCATAGAGTCTACTGGTGTTCCTTACAAAACCAGGATGATAATTCGTAAGAAATGAAAGAATCTTATGAAAGCCCAAAAAACAACTTCTGTAACTTTGCAAAGGCCTCCATGTCAGAAAACTAGCTAAGATAATTCTTTCCCTGTGACTGTTCTCAGAGTTCTCACTCTGGCATATTTCCTTAGCAGAGGTAATTTATTATTAGTCTTAAGTAATATCCTTAGGAAAGAAAGAAATCAAAAATGGGTGTTGCGGTGGCCAACTTTGCTTCTACTTACGTAGCTATTGGCTGCTTGCATTTTCACTCACCATGGTGGGCTTCTGGTAAGGGAAGGGCCTCCCTCCTCATTTTGGAGTTGCACCAGGAGGGAGGGATCCTCCATTTATGTGGCCATCGTTGTCTCGTCCTGAACTTCAAGGTTGGGAACAGTGTGACACTGGGTGCAGCTGAAGAGCCTGTGGCAGGCATGTCAGCCACTTGAGCCCAAATTGGGCAGGCTGGCCTGTTCCTTACCTCCCTTTCCAGCAGGAAATGGGGGGTCATGGATGGGAGGGCGGTCATTGCATCTTGGTTTGCTTTGGTAGCCTGCCAAAATGCAGTCTGGCACGATGACCCTGCCTCCCACTTTATAGGGAATGGACAGGACCTTCTGACGGGACCCTGAGCTTCTAGCTCAGAAGAATTATTTGCGTGTGTGTGTGTGTCGTGGAGAAGGGTGGACGTGCAGGATGAGTTCCTTCCATTCATCACAGCTTGTCCCATTGGGCTGACCTCCAGACATTGAGGAAATGTTAAGAAGCCTCTGGTTCTCCAAGCTGCAGCCCAGCAGCCTGCAGCTTGGAGAACCAGAGAGCCCTTGTGTGTTTTCCCTTGTTTCCGTCAGCATCCTGTTTCTCCAAGAACAAAGGAAGGGCAGGTGGCCTTCTTGGCTTTGTGCTTTTGCCAGAGCAAAGGTGTGGCTGGTAGTGGTGAGCTGGCAAGTGTATTTGTGGCTCCTCAGTGGGGTGTTTTCTTGGCCACTGTTGAGCAGGGGCTTCCCAAGAGCATCAGGGAGCAACAGCCAAGCCCAGAGGAGGTGAGCAGCCCTGCAATAGCCATCCTTGGCTTGGCTAGGCTACTAGGGCCAGTCAGAAATGCCCTAGTAGCCAAGTGCATTTTCTGGTTTCCCCTTTCTTCCTTATCCCGTCCCAGAGACACCCACAGCTACCAGTATGCAAAGAATATATATTTGCCATTAAGGAATCTAACAATTCGTGTCCAATGTACTGTTTGGAAAACAGTATGTTTTTGTTTAAGGGATCTGGTGTACTAGGCGTAAACTTTACATTTGGAGCAGCTGTTTCACATGCTCTTTAACAAGCGGCAGATGCTCAGACAGGAGTGGATAGAGAGAAGGGGATTCAGATGGCATGAGGTAGAGGTTGAACAAAACCCATCCAACTGAAAGTTATCTCAAAGGGAACGTATACCCTAATTTATGCAGGCAGTGGTTAAGAGTATTTGTCATTCCTTTTTAAGTAGATCCAGCTGCTCATTTGTAGATCTGTTTTCCCACATTTTGTTTCTCGAGCCTTGGTAAGGCGGTTAACAAAAGCATCTAATAAATAAAAGAAGGAGAATGCCTGTTTTCTTCATTACAGCCCAGTATTCTTCTCATGTGTTCCTAGATGTTGTTACATTAATTTTTTTCTTCCTGTGGGGTTTGTGTCTCATTTTGGACTCTCGGAACCCTCCCTATCTTATGTATTATGTTTTGTCTTAGCCTTCTTCCATGGAACTTCCAGATTCATGGATGTTCTTCGATTTGTCCATGGCCATCCAATGCGCTTTCTGGTCCCTTGGCTGAACAGGGGCTTGAATGCCGGCCTCACTTGTTCAAGCCCAGGAGTCTTATGTGTTGCACAACACCTGTCCTACATGAGAAAAACGTCCCAGGACGACTTACAATTTGTTTTAACAATTTATAACAACAAATAACAAAAACTGTATCAATAACAACAAACAACCCCTATAAACAGCAGAACTTAATCTCAACAAAAGTCCAAATCAAAATTAGAAACAAAGGCAAAAAAGAAAAACTCAAAGTGACTGTGGATGTTGAAACCAATTAAAATTTCTAATTCTTAAAATGATGAGTAAATAAAAAGGTTTTCACCTGGCACCGGAAGGAATAGGCGAACCTCTCCGGGGAGTGCATTCCAGAGACTGGGTGCCGCAGCAAAGAAGGCCCTCTTCTGGGTAGAGACCTTTACTTCCTTCAGGGAGGGTTCCTGGAGCAGAGCCTCCTCTACAGATCCTAAGGGGCATGTCCTGAGGTTGTAACTTACGTCTCCAATTAACTCACACAGCAGCCGGCCAGAAGACTAAAGTCTTTTATTGCTACTTTCCACAAGATTTACATGTAACAGATAAGCTCTAATGAGAAGCTCCTAACAGTCTAGTTGCTTCCCCCTTAGTGAAATCTCTCAGGAGCCCACGTGGGATTAGCTCTTCCTCTCAAGTCTTTCCACTTGTGGGTGGGACGAACCTTTGTCCCATCTTCTCATTTGTTCCATATGTTGTAAATTTCTCCTAACTTGGGCATCTGCCAAAAGTATCGTTTCCTCTTCCTGATCTCCTGAACTCTGCTCAGCAGTTGCAGAGTCAGGAGGTGGTGCGGGGGGAGCAGCTTGTTCCAGCACCTCGGACTCAGGATGGGAAGAAGCTACCTGCGCAGAAGCCTCACCGTTATGCTGTGGGGCGACTATCTGCTCAGCAGTCTCAGAGACATGCTGCAGGGGGGTCATTTGTTTACTAGGTCCCAAGTGCAACTCCCCTTGTTCTAATGTCTGATTCTCATTGTGAACATTTGACTATTTCTCACGAGTCGACGTCTCTATCGAGCCGTCAGGTGCGACAGGGCATGAGGGCATGTAGGAAAGGAGACATTCCTTCAGGTATCCTGGTCCTAAGCTGTTTAGGACTTTATAGGTTAACACAGAAGAATGTTTGGCTGAGCGCCAAAGAATTGCGGTGGCCTTGGAATTGTGGTGCTGGAGGAGACTCCTGCGAGTCCCTTGAACTTGTGAGAAATGGAGTTACTGTTACTAAGTGTTAAGACAAGACCAAAGAAAGAGTGAAATACAGGGTTAATTGAAGTCTCTTAAGGCCAAAAGGCCGAGAATCAAAACATGTAAATGGTTGTTTTTAAGAGACGCAGGGCCTTTTTACTTCAAAGTCCTGAGAAATGCCAGAAGGGGTAAAATTGGGGGACAGTGGTAAAACTGTCACCTTCAGTGGAGGAAAGCAGGCAATGGATTACTTTATAATGGGAGGTAAAGAGTCTGAAGAGAGGCCTGTTCTCATTATCTCATCCTCCCCATTTTGATTTAAGGAGCAAATTGGCGTCCAAGAAGAATTCTCAAGGCCATTTTGACTTGTTCAACTTTTAGGCCTAGTGCACAAGCTTAATAGGTTTATGAATTGTAACTGACACACCTCTCATAGGTCATAGGCTCATTAGCATGAACATGGGTTGTATGTGCAAGGGGGGGGATCATATTAAGGGGTAGTATGTTGTAGGCAGACAGAGAAGATTGTGCCCTCCGAGTAGCCCAGTCAATGGGAGAAAAGAGGTAGGGCCTGCGAGCCGGGGAAAGGGATAAAGGTGAATGTTGTGTGTGTGAACGGCACGCTACCTGTGAGGTGGGTGCCTGCTCTTGCAAGAACGAATTAAACTTCTCTGCTTGTTACTTTGCCTCCCGTATCGTCACTGCTTGGATTCTATAGGATACACACACACACACACACACACACATATATATATATATATAAAATATCTCAGAGACTGCAAGGTGATCAAACCGGTCAGTGCTAGAGGAGATCAACCCTGGCTGCTCTTTAGAAGGCTCGATACTGAAGATGAAACTCAAATACTTTGGCCACCTAATGAGAAGGGACTCCCTGGAGAAGAGCCTAATGCTGGGAACGATTGATGGCAAAAGAAGAAGGGGATGGCAGAGAATGAGGTGGCTGGATAGAGTCGCTGAAGCAGTCGGTGTGAGCCTAAGTGGACTCCTGGGGATGGTGGAGGACAGGAAGGCCTGGAGGAGTGTTGTCCATGGGGTCGCAATGGGTTGGACACGACTTCATGACTAACAACAATTACAACAGGTTAACACCTATCATGAAGTTAATACATGAAAAACACAGCTTAAAATGCACAAAAAATGCAGAATACAGCACCCGTGGAAAAGCCCTCTTTGTACAAAACATCTCCCCGCCAGCAGAAGAGCAGTGGCGCTAATGAGAGATGCTTTTGATGATGTAACTGGCCATGAGAACTTCTCTGTGCATACGGGGCTGAGCTCCAAGCCAGCAAACGGAGCGTGTCCAGAGACGACCGGAAATCTCACGAATCACGCCTCTCTTTAGCTCTGTGGCGCTGATGGGCTGCACTTGCTCTCGCGTGGAGGCGGGTGGCACCTTGCTGGGGGCCTTCCGAGGGACGCTGATTGGTCATAGCAGTGCAAGCTAGTCCCGCCCTTCTCCCTGTTTTTAGGCTGGATTGGCTGCGCTTGTTATCCATCGCCTCGCCCGCTGCCTCGCAGGGCTTTCGGTTCTGTTTCCTCCAGTGCCGTTCCGGGCGCTCAAACTGGCAGGAACGTCGTTGCAGCGCCTCGCCCAGGGAGGCGCCGCCGCCGGGCTTCGAAGCTGCGCGCTGGAGCTGCTTTGCAGCCGGATTCTGCGCGCGTTCCTCGGTAGCCCCTCGCGAGTTCGGCGGGGGCTCCATTCTCACGTAAGTGTGCGTGAAGTCTGCCGGGTGCCCTACTTGCCTGGCATGCTTGCTGCGTGAGATCATCACCGCGCCGTTTTCTGTCGCTGCTTGCCACGTATCTTGCAATTGATTTCTGCAGCCGGTGCTTAACTTTAAAGCCTTGCATATCTTGTCCCTGGAAGACCGCTTTCTCTTGTTTGAATTTGCCCCAAATACGGCGCTTATCCGTAGGGGCCCTGCTGTGAGCGCCTCGCAATGTTTTGGTTGTCTATGGGAATCTCCCTCCGCAGAGGATTGCTAGGTCTCCAGTCTTTTGTATAAGCTGTGCGCTCGCTCGCTCTCTCAAGTAGGGGTGCCTGCTGATTTGTTCTGCGTTTTAAATTGGTGCTTTAATTTATGTAATATGTTGCTATTCCTCCTTTTAAGACAAGGATCCGCTGACGAGGAGAAACAGCCGGGCGGTGGGCGACCAGTACCGCAGCCATGGCGGCTACTGGGGGCCCCATCCAGGCCCTTTGCGATGAAGTGACCTGCCCCATCTGCTTGGAGTATTTCAAAGATCCCGTGACCGTCACGGAGTGTGGGCACAATTTCTGCAGAGGCTGCCTGGTCCGAGGCTGGGGGGAGACGGACACCGAGGCCTCCTGCCCTTGCTGTAGAGAAACAATGACGCGAAGTAAATTCAGCCAGAACTGGCAGCTGGCTAACGTTGTAGAAATCGCCAAAACGCTCCACCTTCAGCAGGTGAAGCAGGGACTCTGCGGGAAACACCAGGAGCCCCTGAAGCTTTTCTGTCAAGACGATCACATCCTCATCTGTGTGGTGTGTGACAGGTCCAAGGTGCACAAATCTCATGAGGTGATTCCTATAGAGGAAGCTTCTCAAGAGTACAAGGTAGGAAATCCACTACTACATTTTTTTTTTTTTACATTTTTATACCGCACCATGGCCTGAAGGTCTCTCAGGGCAGTTACAATAAAAACAAATAACAATAAAACCAATTAAAACAAAATGACAATTTGGCAACTCCTGGTGATTAAGAACAATTAATACAATAATGCAGTTAAACTGCTTTTATTGACTGTATTAACTAAAAACAATATTAAACCCAATCTATCAAAACATCTACTAAATAAAGAGATTGTCACCTGGCACCAGAAAGAAAACAAAGATGGTGCCAGGCGTACCTCCTTCAGGAGCATGTTCCAAAGATGGGGTACAGCCATGGATGACCTCCTTAGCCATAGAAATGGCTGTAGGTCTTAATTTTATCTATCCTATCCTATCTAATCTATCTAAACTAATTCATTTATGTACTGCCTAATAGCTCAGGCTCTCTGGGCAGTTAATGGCTGAGGGAGAGCAGAAGTTGGCTTTTTGTAGAGTAACTCTTCTAGTAAGAACATCTTGCAGCAAAAGCACACATTCCTTGTTTTGCTTTACTCCAGAGAAAGCATAGGGGGTCTGATCTAGATCCAGGTCTGGGGGAGCACCTGAGGGTGCTTGCTCTTTCCCCTGCCCTCCCATGCCACGCTTTCTGTCAGGATGTCCACCCTGCAGTTTAGGTTGCCAGCTACAGATTCCTGTGGAGAAGCTTAAAGCCCCCTGCTCTCCCTGCCTGGTATTGTTCTAGAGTGAGGGCCTTGGGCTTTCTCCAGCGTAAAACAGGAAAAAAGATGTAGCTAGTGGCTGCAAGTGCAACCTGTCAAAAGGCTTCATGTGCCCTGGTGTGGTGGCTGGAATGTTGCCCAGAGGCTTGGAAGACGGAGCTTCTAGTCCCCTCTTGGCCATGAAACTGACTGAGAACTTTGGGTGAGTCACTCTCAGCTGAGCCTACCTCACAGGGTTGAAATTGTGAGGACAAAACAATTGAAGAACCTTATAAGCTGCCCTGGGTTTCTGACAAGGGAAAGGAAGGCAGATGATAATAATTTAATCTAATAAAAGTAATTGTGCCACCGTTGTTTTTCTAGGAGTGCCATCAGGGTGAGACTTGGGGTTAAATGTCCAATGCCCCACAAGGCTAAACAAACAGTAAGGCCCCTAAATATGGCAGGGCTGGTTTATTACATTTTAACATAGCAAATATTATCATATAAAGAGGGTGGCACTCTGGAAAACTATTACATCCATAATCTAAAGTTGGTCTTTTCTAGCTGTGTTCCTTCCTTACGGATTTTTTGTGAGCAAAGGCAACAACAGAAAAAGCAGTAGTGAAAGCATAAGGTTGCGGGTAAAAAATGACACCATCAGGATCTTGTGCAAAATTCCATGCATGTGGCATGGCAAATGTGTGTTGTAAATACCTCTTCTGGAAATAAGCTTATTCACTTGTAAAAATTGCTTGATAATGAGCTAGGATTTAGGTCACAAACCCAGTTCTTTAGGACTGTAACCTACTGAAATTAGTGGGATTTATTTCTGAGCAGGCATGTTTAGGTTTAGTGAGGCCACATTTCACTTTCAAAGTAGAGGTGAGCCTCCTTTGCTTATCTGAAAAAGAAACCAGTTCAGTATGTGTGAGGAACATGTGCAAAACAGTTGATTAAAAAAAAAAACCCTCCTGGTTTCATTTGGTCAGAAATCTTTTGAAAACTCATTTTTATAGGTATTCTTTACATCCTTTGGGCTGCAGTAAGATACCTCTGGTCTTGTGTAATGAAAAAGTAATTTAGGGAGAAATCCTGTGTGTGTTTGGACAAGAAAGTCCTACAACTTCCAGCATGCTCCAGCCAGGCACACCGGGCTGTGACTGCTTCCTCAGAAGCCCGACTCATAAATCCAGAATATTAAGTCATGAGAAGGTGGCCATGATCCCCTGTGAGCAAACTCACACCAGTAGAATTGTGTCATGTAAATCTGTATATTGAACCATAGAATTCTAGAGGGAAGGGGACAGAGGGCTGGCTTAACCCCCCCCCCCCCCCTTAAGGCAGGGCTCCCAGTTAAAGCATCCCTCTCAGATGGCTCCCTGGTTGCATCTTGAATGCCTCCAGTGTGGGATAGCCCACAATCTCCCGCGGTCATTGGTTCCATTGTCATACTGCTCTGACAATTAGGAAGTTCTTCTTGATGTGCAGCCGCAACGTGGCTTGTAACTTCAGCCCGTTATTCCAAGTCCTGCCCTCTGCGAGAAGAGATCCTGCCCTTCCTTTTTGTGACAGCGTTTCGAATATTTGTAGAGTGCTATCCTATCTCTTCTCAGTCTTCTCTTGTTGAGGCTAAACATGGCCGTCTCTTTCAATCTCTCCTCACAGGGCTTTGTCGCCAGGCCCTGCATCATTCCTGCTGCTCTACTCCAAATCTTTTCCAGCTTGTCTGCATCTTTCTTCAACTGTGGTGTGCAGAACTGGATACTCTACTCCAGATGAGGCCAAACCAGTGCTGAGTAAAGGGGAACTAGCACTTCATGTGATTTGGAAGGGGTATTTCTGTTAATGCGCCTAAAAGAGCAGTTGCCCTTTATGCAGCCACATAAATGAGTCATCACCTTGTTGACTCATTCCGCTTGTTGGCTCATATTCTGCTTGCTTAAGCAAAGCAGTGATGCTGGCATGAGGTGGTGGTAGGGAATGTCCCCCAATATTCCACTGGCTGATGGTTGAAAGGCAGATTCCAAGCGTGTTTATCATTTTGAAACTAGAACAGGCTGAGCAGGGTATATCAGCACCCCACCCTCCACAAATCTTGACACTACAAGGAGAGATTATTATTATTATTATTATTATTACATTTCTATGCCGCCCCTTGCCGAAACCTCGGGGCGGCTTACAACATGGTAAAATACATTGAAATACAATAGTACATAATAAATTACCATTAAATACAAAAATACAAAAAATACATTGATTTACAAATATAAAATTAAAATTATCAGTAAGTGTAAGGTTCAGCTCAAAACTCTTGGTTCTGAGTTATTTGTGCCTTAACTTATGTTTTTTCTGCAGAATCGAATTGCAAACTGCCTGACAGTTCTGAGGATGGAAAGAAGTAACATTCTGGAATATAAGGCAGACACAGAAAAAGAAAGCCAAAGCCTGCTTGTAAGTGGCTCATTTCTATTGGGATGTTGAACTTGGAAAAAAAATTTAATACAAAATGAGGGAAAACCCCAAGACAGCCTTACTTCTGTGTAGAATGGCTTATTTCCTAGAAAAGCTAATTAAGGTGAGCTTTTCTAAATTTTAGCAAACTCTTTTCCTGATGGATGTTGATTTCATATTTATGAACGTCAGACGTGCCTTTGCTGCAAAATTCCTGGGCTATGGCGTACGGCTCTTGACCTGAAGAGACTGGCTAAATTCCTGACTTAGCCCCACATTTGTTCATCTGCTTATTGCAGTGGGAAACAAAAGCAGAGATGCAGAAAACACTGGTTGAGTTCAGACAACTGCGGCAGTTTCTGGAAGAACAAGAGAAACTTCTGCTGGCCCAAATAGAAGAGTTGGAGAAGGAGATTGCCAAGAAAAGGGATGAGCACCTGCTCAAACTCTCCAAGGAGCTCTCCTCTCTTGAAAGCATCATCCTGGAAATGGAGGAGAAGTATCAGCAGCCACCAGCTGAACTCTTGCAGGTGACGTGGTGACAGACATGCCCAAGTGCCTCCTTTTCATGGGTAGACTATTTCCAAACTGTTGAATACCTGGTTTAATGACAGCAGGCTCTTCTAAGCTTTTTGTGTCCATGGACACAGTTAAAATCTCCAATGCTCTGTCACAAAACAGTTGGGCACAACCAGTCAGATAGCACCTATTTTACAGTAAGTATGTCTGTGAAGTTGAAAGAAGCATGCCCAAGAAACTGAGTTCAAAGCACGGGTGTGGTGTAAGCAAAACTATCTGAAATTGTGAAGCGTAAGAAAACACTCATTTCACTTTTCCTGAATTCTTTCTGCTGACCACTTCGGCCCCTTTTCTCTATAGTTTGTCACTTGCACTCTTTTTTCCTCAGGATCACCATCCCCCATACAACCCTCCCTCCCTCCCACACACACACACACCCATCCACCCACCCACCCACCCACCAAATACTCCTGTACAAACATCCCAATTATCTTTCTCACTTACATCCATATATGCATGCACATACACCTTCTTTCACCACCACCCTATATCTGAGTGTGTCGATTACAGTAACACTTTAAGGGTGTAAACTGCTCTGCACCAAAAGAATTAAAAAACCCGTAGTAGTGAAGGTTTATTCCATAAAACCAAGAGGTGTTTCCCTTGCTGCAGGGCATTTTGCTATTTCACTCCCTGTCTTGGAGTGGAATGTTAGGCAGGCAAACACCGGGACTTCACACTCCAGGGTCTGAAGGAGCTTTGTAACATGGCTTATGGCAGGCACTGAATCCCCTCTTTCCTTCTCACCTCTAGGATGTTAGAAGCAGCTTGCAGAAGTAAGTGGATGCTCCTGTTCTTCTTGCTTGGTGAAGGGGTTTGTATCCTGTGTGAAGGGTGTGGTGTTTGGGCTACTGGGGAGAAAAGAAGGGCAACATTTAGCAATGGGTGAGCAGAATTTTTCCTTCGCTTCCTCTTCACAGCAGGCTTCCGCCATCAACTCTTTTAAAGTGAGCTTCAGAGGATTCCCTAATGCTCAAATCTAGGAAGGCATGGGGGTCTGTAGTCACTCCTTCCCACTACTCGGTCGATGCAAGGTTTTCACTGAATTGGAGTCGCAATAGTTATTTTTAAGGGAATTTAGTGGCAGGATGGGACATTCGAATCAGTTGTTTCCAACAAGTCTACTTTGCACTGAAATTTATTTTAGCCATTAAATTGCTTTTGAATTTTGGACACGGAAAAAGTGTTGTGCTATTTTTTATTGTATTTATGGTGTGTGTTTTTATGAATGGTTATAAACTGTCCAGAGATATTTGTCCCCCCTCTTCTTTGCTGAAAACTCATCAATAATGATCAAAAATGTATTCTCAAAAGCCCTTTCAGAGATTTCTTACACACCACCCCTCAAAACCATTTCATAACTGCGTAAAATCAGTTACTTTTGTTCAAATGAGCATATATGTTGTCTGATGAACATTTTCACATTTTATAAAGCAATGATACAAAACACGGTTTAGGATACCACAATCAGGAAATGATTTCCCCAGTTACACTGTGATGCACATTCTTTCTTTCTCAGAATCTCAGCATCATATTTGTTTGCTTCAGTTCTTCTCTCCTAAGTAGGGCTATAATGTTTATCAGTGGATTGCACCAAACAGTTAAACCTTGGACTGATTAAAATAGTCGCATAATTGAGTACTTTGCCCAGGAGACTACATTTTTTTCAGGAATGGCAAGGGGAATGTTTGACCTAGGGCTGAGGCCATGAAACAAGCAATGCATCTTCTGTTTTCCAAAGTGTATATAAAGGCAGCATTTCATCAGGGAAGCCATGTTGGATCCTGGACCAGATCAGGATACAGTGGTTACTTATACTCCAAAATAAAATGTGGCACACTTATAAAAAGGAATGTTTTTTATGTGTAATTCAGCCCTTGGGAATTTGACCATAACATTTCATTAAAAAACAGTAAATGCATTTAATAGAATGCCTGATTTCATGGATGGAGCTAGTTGCATGTACTCACAAAGCTAGCAGGTTCTGTAAGATTTACCATTTGAGGGACAGGCAGCTATGGGGGATAGAATGAAAATGGGGTTGACATTTCTTTCCATGAGTATAGATTGCTACTGAATTCAGTAGGCATCACTAATGACTTCCCTGGTAGCTGTCAGCTTGAGGATTTTATTAAAAGGTAGGATGTAAAAGGAACTCTTAGCTACAGGGCCAGCTCAAGGGTACAGATCCTTAACTGTGAGACTGTTGCACCAGAATTCTCCCCATGTCTCTTATATGGCTCCACTTGGGGATGAAATTGCTGCAGGCGTGTTCCTGAGGTAGGAACCATAGAGGGGGTTGCCTCCTTTTCAAGTCACATCTACGCCTCTCTTCCTTTTGTCACCTGCCTGGGTTTACTTTTGATTTTGTTTGCTTTCTCCTGATCCTTTTTGTCCATTTAGAAATGCTCACATTGGACAGGTAGCAGGAGATTAATGTTGCTTCTCTCCGCCAGGGGTGAGGAGAGAAAGAAGTTTGAAAATCCTGTGGCTTTTCCTCTTGCATTGAAGTGGAAGATCTGGGACTCCTCTGATATAAATCTTTTCCTGAAGGGTGTCATGAAGCAGTTCCAAGGTAAGGAATGCGTGCGAAGACTTCATCCTGGGCATTGTGTTAGCCTAAGGGTAAGGACAGCGGGCTCTTAATCGTAACTACAGAGACAGCCTTAGTCTGGGCATCATTCCTGAATATTTCAGGTGGTTTTTTAAATGCCCCCAGCTTTCATCTGTGACAGTAAGTGAGAAAATGTAGAAGCAACTCTCTCTCCAAAGAAGCAAACCAGCATTCTGGCCAGTATGTGAAAAGTTCCAGGGATAACTGACCAGCATTATGCAGTTATTTTCAATTAATTATAAAATTATTTTTTTTTGCTGTTGAGTCCATTTAAAGAAAATATGGAATCATGGTAGACCGTAGTTGGGTACAGGGATGAACCTTCCAGATGTTGTACTGTAGCAACAGCTGGAGTGGTTACATGTTCCTGTCCTGTCAGTGTCTTAAAAGAAACATCCTGGAATAGCTTCCTTGATGCTGCTGGATAAACATCTCGGCACCCTTTTGGATTTATTCCCCCTCCTGAATCTGATGTATCTTCTTGAGCTTTTCTTACTGCACTGTCAAGTCACCTCACAAGCATCTTGGAGACTGCATAATTCAGCTACTGAATAATTTAAAGCCATCATTTGGTGCCCTTCACTGCCACAGGATTTCGTGATGGCCACCCATGTGGATAGCTTTAGAAGGGGATTGGGCAAATTCACGGAGGAGAAGGCTATGGAGGGCTTCCAGCATCAGATGCAGTATTCCTACATGCATAAGCTTCTGGGGAAGATGGGTGCAGCTGGCTGGTCTCCCTGTGAGCAGAAACTGGGGCTAAATCGTTCTATATTTGATCCACCAGGGCTCTTCCAATGATCTTGTGTCCCTCTTGCCCCCCCCCCCCGTGAACTTCCTTTGAGCTGCCTTCTTATCATCGAGAGGCTTCCCCTTTAGGAGTGAAGCTGCACTGTTTTGCCTTCCCACAACCCCCATGCTGGCTGGCCTCAACCTGCTGCAGAGGCCGCTGAAGGCCTTAACATCAGTTCCCTCCTTTGGGTTCCCACCTGCTCGCCAGTCCTGATTCCGGTCTGCGAAACAGTCCGGAACATTCCAAACAACCACCTAGGCTTGCTTGATGCATAAGCAACTTTGCAAGGAGAACTTCATCCTAGCACTGTTTCCGCTCCTGCTTAACCTTTTGCTCGGAGAAGCAGAATAGGTGCTATATTGCTGCAAACTTGCTTGCTGCAAACTGTTCTGAGAGCACGATGCTAATTTGAATGCCATGGAAATACTTAAAATACGTTCTGGGGCGGGGGTGTCCTTGTGATAAGATTTGTTGTGGGACAATGCTGTTGTGCTGAAACGTCCTTCCTCCTTGTCTTCCCAGATGCTCTGCTTTATGGACTTCAACTGCAGGAAGGTAAATGTCCTCTCGAGGACCAGATCTAGGGGAGGGATGGGGACTGCTGAGGGATTGGACTTTCAGGAACCCTCTTTGCCGTGCCTAGCTCCAAAATCTGCAGGACTGAGCTAGAAATACTTGCATGCAGGTTTTTCTTCTGCACAGTGAATCAGTGGAGGCGTCAGCCTCTGCCTCCAGCTGTCCACATTTATTTACTATTTCTTTGTTGCATGTGTTCCTGCCTGCAGGCCTTAATTCAGCCTCAACTGTTACAAAATAGGGCAGTGCAGTGGCTCCCACGAGCAGGTCTGCAGGCCCATATTGGTTGCACTGCTTACCAGTTGAGCTCCAGGCCCAATTCAAAGTGTTTATGCTAACATCCTCCTCCATGGATCACTGCCTTGTCGTGGCGAAGGGGCTTGTGCGGCTCAATGAAGCTATGAGCTCTGCCGTGCAGGGCCACCCGAGACGGACAGGTCACAGCAGAGAGCTCTGACAAAACGTGATCCACTGGAGAAGGAAATGGCAACCCACTCCAGTATCTTTGCCATGAAAACCCCATGGACAGTACCAAAAGGCAAAAAGATACGATGCCGGAAGATGAGCCCCTCAGGTCGGAAGGTGTTCAGTATGCTACTGGGGAAGAGCGGAGGGCTAGTACTAGTAGCGCCAGAAAGAATGAAGCGACTGGGTCAAAGCCGAAAGGACACTCAGTTGCAGATGTATCTGGTGGTGAAAGGAGAGCCGGATGCTGCAAAGATCTAAAAAGGGGACGGCAGAGGAGGAGGTGGCTGGATGGAGTCACTGAAGCAGTGTGAGCTTGAGTGGACTCTGGGAGATGGTGGAGGACAGGAAGGCCTGGAGGAATGTTGTCCATGGGGTCGCGATGGGTCGGACACGACTTCGCGGTTAACAACAACAACTTGCTAACATATCAAGCCCTGAACGACTTGGGTCTAGGAGACCTGAAGGACTGCCTGCTTCCATATATACAGTAGCTACCTGGTCCCTAAGACCAGAGGGGGAGGCTCTTCTGAGAGAGCCACCCTCCAGGAGCTGAGGAGGACAGCAAATAGATTAGGGGCCTTCTCAGTGGCTGAGCCCCTTTTGCAGCATGGCTTTCTGAGAGCAGTTTGCCTGGTGCCATCATTACAATCTTTTCAGCACCCAGCAAAAACAACCCTGTCTTCCAGACATTTTAATAAATGATTTTAAAATACGATTTTATATTGTGTAATTTTAATAGTACTGTTTTATACTGTTCTTAATTTAAATCTATTATTTTAATCTATATCTCACCCCTCTTGTGATTGTTATATGTTTATATATTTTTTTATCAGATGCTGTTTTTATGGGTATTTTTGTAATCCACTTAGAGAGTCCTTAGGACTAATTTACTTGCAGAATATAATTGAATAAATAAAGTGCGCAGGAATGCTTCTCCAGGATTAGTAAACCTGAGTGTTTAGGAGATGGGTGCTGAACCTCTGTTACCTTGATGACTGATTTCATTTGGAGAAGCTCTTGGGGGTGGGGGAAAACTGCAAGGAAAAAGGGGTGAGGACAGAAGTACCAGCCTGATCTGACTTGTGGCTCCTGCCCCCAGCTAAGCCTCAGGAGAGGCATTTCTGCCTTTTAGGATGGAGGAGCAGAAAATCCACAAGAACTTGGAAAGCACCAAATGATGGGTAGCTAGAGAAATGGGGAGGGGGAGCATGAGGAGCTCCAGATGGCTAGAATTGCTTTCCGAGGGTCATCACCTCTGGTTTAGGCTCCAGCCTCTCACTGCACCTGCTCACTTTTCTTTGCGCAATCTCTCCCTCTCTGTGCTACAGCAAACGTGACCCTGGATCCAGGCACAGCCAATCCCCACCTCTTCCTGTCCAAGGATTATCGAAGTGTGCAAGAGGAAAGCGAAGCTCAGCATTTGCCTGACAATCCCGAGAGATTCAATGAACGGTCCTTTGTGCTGGGATGCAGAGAGTTCATCGCAGGCCGGCATTTCTGGGATGTCTCCGTGGGAAGCGACGGGGAATGGGCTGTGGGGGTTGCCCGGAAATCTGTGCAGAGGAAAGACTATGTTAACTTCAGTCCTGAGGGAGGGATCTGGGCTGTGGGGAAGTGGGCCGGTGGGTTCTGGGGTCTCTGCTCCCTTTTTCGCCCTCCTCTGTCCCTAAGTGGGGAGTTGAAGAAGATCCGGGTGTGCCTGAACATGGGGGGTGGGCGGGTGGCCTTTTTTGATGCCGACAGAGGAACGCTTCTCTTTGCCTACTTCCCAGTCTTATTCACTGGAGAGACTCTTCAGCCATTCTTTTGGCTTCACAAAGGAGCCTGGCTCAGTCTTTCTCCGTAAGGTGACCGGATCTGCCTCACCAGTGCGGATGGATTTGTTCTGTGCCATGGTAACTGAAATAAAAATCCAGAACTGATTAGCCAGGAGCTCTTAAAAACCCCTAAGTGAGTTCCCTTTCAGAACTAGCAGAACTAAGTAAAAGGGACCCTGCTTCTTCCTTTCCATTTCCAGATCTCCCTCTTCCCACTGCAGCTTAGTTCTGCAAAGGACTAAGAACTCCTATGCTTGCTGGCTAGAAGTGGGTTTTTTGTGGACTTAGGCTGGTACCCTAATTGCACCTTACTGGGATAAGGGAGGCTGCCCTGGAAACTTGTTGCTTGATTCACTGCAATTGGCTGTACTTGAGGCTGTTTTTGAAAATGGTCCAAAAACTTCAGTTAGTTAGTCCAAAGCAGGAACTGGATAGGAACACGTGTGTTTGTGGTGTAAATAAAAATGTCGTGGAGGAAAGCAGTGACTATGCACAAGAATAAAGTAAAATCCGTGTTAGTCTAGCTGCCTCTTTGCTGACAGTTGCGGCTTGCAAATAGACCAGTGCCAGAGTTTTATAGGTCTCTGGCCGCTCAAAGGCAGCCAACTCTTAATGGGCATTTTGCAGCTTTAGATGCTATCCAACCGGGGTAGCTGTGGCAAACTGGTGGACCAAAAGATGGAGCCACGCATGGATTTTGAAGATAAATTGCTTGCTGTGATCCTGCAGCCCCTCCACGCAACCCATCTTAAGGCAGTTTGAGGTTTGAAAAGAGGGCGGCAGCTGGGCTGGAAACCCCCTGGGCGCTTCTGCTTTGCCTCTTCTCACCCCTTTGTCCTTGCATTCTGTATTTTTCGCCTGTAAGCCTATGGACAGGGCTCCATCTTCTTCAACTGATTGTATGGGATTCTGCTCTGGGATCCTTTTGGCCGAGGTATGGGATGAAAGGCTTTCAATAAAATAAATGTACCTGCAGAGTAAGTAGGCAGAGGAGCCAAGCAAATGCTGGAAAAGCAAAAGCAGGCAGGAAAGAGGGATTCTGTTACCCTCAAGGTAAACTGTCCCTTCCCTAGCCTTGCAGTTTAAAACTTTCAAGGACTCTTTATCTGGTGGAATTTACTTCTGAGTAAGCATGCAAAGGGATGGCAGTTTTGGGAGTGTAACCATGATCCCGGTGAAATCAGTGGGGTTTTAAATTCAACCCTAAACAAGTTTGCTCTGAGTCCCAAACCATCTTGCCCAAACCTAGTTTGCTCGAGCCAAACCATTTTGTGATCCTTTAAGCCCACGGGGAAGAAGTGAAAGGATATCCATACCCGTTGCAGTTTTTGAAAGTGTTTCTTTAGAACAAACGAATCCCTGTTCCTCAAAATGGCACACCAGAAACTTCTATTAGGAAAGTCCCCAGACAAGAACAGTCTTGATTTTAATGCCTAGTGCTCCACGGCTTGAACTTGCTTGCATCCAGGCAGTGCTGGCACTGGACATTAAAAGGAATTCCAAGTTCCCCAATAAGCAGTGGAGAATGCTCAGTGGGATCTGCCCAAGAAGGGCTTTCTCCCTTTTGGGCACCACCTAGCAGTGTCTGTGGGTGTCAAACAACCTCCCAGAACTCCTCCAGGCTCTTGGACAGCATAAACAGGAAACGGATAAATAACATGTGACAGCAGCTTTCAAGGTCAAGTCCCATGAGTCCAAGTGTTTTGAGACTTCCTTTATATGTGGCAAGTTTCAGAAGGGCAAGGAGGGGTACAAGAGGGGTGAGTGAGTGAGCTGATTGGCGGGTGGCTGTGTGTGGGCAGAGCTTGGTGTGTGCTGGAGAGAGAAATAGATGCTATTGGTCTGTCATCAATTCACAGTTGTGGCTAGTCAGCAGTTTGCCCGATCCGGAGAGGCAGCCATCTTATTGGAATCCCTGATAGTGCTGGGGATCCGTGAGGAAAGGGAGGCAGTGAAATTCTTAAAGGGCAGATTAGCAACCAGGGAGAGTCAAAACCTGTGTTGTCAAATATTACAAGAGTGTGTGAGATAGACAAACGTGAGTGCAGGAGGGAAAGGAGAATCTGAGAGAGGAGTGTTTGAAGGGAGAGTGCAGAAGTGGTTATTATACACTTTTACTCAAGTTGCTGAACATCTTAAAATCGGTGCGCTTCTTGTATAAATAAAGTTTCATTTTGTTTATTGTTAACTCAAAGTCATAGGTTGTTTGAATACCAGTGTCATCCTCAGGACCACATAGTCCAACAATGGAACCTTTTAGCTTGGGCACAATATTTATGTATTTATTTAGCAGGCTTCTATGCCGCCCCATTCGCCGAAGCCTCAGGTCAGCTCACAACAATAAATAAATACATATCAACCATATAAAAACAATATAATTGGAGACTTCCTGGTCAAAGATATAAAATCAATAAATAATGTTAACAATTAAAATGATGTTTAAATAAAAAGGTCTTGGCCTGGCACCAAAAAACAAACAACGATGGTGCCAGGCGGACCCCTCTGGGGAGTGCATTCCATAGATTGGATGCCGCCACAGAGGAGAGGTTAATTAATAGGATTGGAATTAATTCCTGGTGCCAGTTGACATACTCAGAAAAATAGAGGGAAATATAAAGAAAGTGAAAAGCACTCCATATCCTGATGGATTACAGAGGAAGGTACTCATGCCAGTAGTTATTCAGCACCTTCCAGTGAGAGTGGGATAACTGCAGAAAGGCTGCTTCTGGCTGGAGCAATCCAGCGGCTGTTTCATGAGACTTTGGTCCTGAGGACAAACCTGGGGTGGGAAAGGCAGCAAATAAACTCTATCAGATCCTGCTGACAATTTCTTCCTCTCACACACAGATATACGCTGGCTACCACTGGGCATTCTCAAGAGCCAAGATGTTTCTGCATCCAGTTGGCTGCAGGCAAAAGGCAAACTAGTTACCGCTACTAAGATACTACTTAAATGAACACTTGTATGATGCTATGCAGCATATACAGTACAGTTGTATATTTGTATATGTTGTTGTTAGTCGCGAAGTTGTGTCCGACCCATCGCAACCCCATGGACAACATTCCTCCAGGCCTTCCTGTCTTCCACCATCCCCCAGAGTCCACCCAAGCTCACACCGACTGCTTCAGCGACTCCATCCAGCCACCTCATCCTCTGCCGTCCCCTTCTCCTTTTGCCATCAATCGTTCCCAGCATTAGGCTCGTCTCCAGGGAGTCCTTCCTTCTCATTAGGTGGCCAAAGTATTTGAGCTCCATTTTTTTAAATTTTTATTAAGATTTTAAACTACACATATCAGTCATCACACGCATCAGATTTCCTGGGTCAGCCCCTTACAACATATCTTTTAACATTCTATGATCATACTAAAATCCTTTTATAATAACATGAAAACATCTTTAGATCAAAACCAAGTCCTGTTTCTCCAGCCAAATAAAAAAGTAATTCCAAATTTGATAGAAGTCACTATCTTCCTTCTTCTTTATTGGTGAAATCAATCCCATTTTTTCCTTACAAGTCCTGTTTCTCTTGACCATTATTTAAGGAAGCTTCTCCAAGTTAAGTGAAATTACAACAACTTCTTTCTTTTTCAGTGATAGGTTTCATCTAAACATTTCTGAACAATTCAAAATCTATCAAATAACTTCCTCACTACCACGATTACTAGTAACTTCAAAAAGATATTATTATTATTATTATTATAGCATTTCTATGCCGCCCCTTGCCGAAGCCTCAGGGCGGCTTACAACACAATAAGATACATTGAAATAAAATCCTAACTACTCTGCTTAGTGGTAACTTTAAGCCAATTTTCTTTAACTCACTAATGTTTCATCTAACTTAAACTCCATTTAATCAAATATAGTTAACTCCATACAGTATCACATATAGACTTACCCATATAAGTCATTCATATTTTTTAAAAAGTAAGTTCTCCTATTTTCAATTACAGATATAGTCAGGGATATCCCTTTAACAATGTTTCATTAATCTAGATTTTTAAGTTTTCACCAACCATATTAAATTAGCCTTTCTGTATCTCATGTGAACATACCAGCCTATTTAAATCATCCCTTTTTAAGATGAAAAGAAGAACAAAAAGAAAGAGAAAAATCTCTACAGTTACAAATAATATCAAAAGCATTCATTTATCATCCCTAAAACGGCTTAACAACTCTATTTGGTGATTATTAATACCTATAATGAATTCTCTTATTTTCAAATACAGATAAAATCAGAAACATCCACTTAACATCTTTAAAAGCACCATTGATTAATCTATTTGGTGATAACTAATACCTATAATATCTTTTAGCCGAAATTTCTTTAAACTGAATTACTAAAGCTTCACCAAGAACAGTAGCTTAGCTTTTCTACGTTACATATGAGCATACCAACCTCTATGTCATCCCTTTTTGAAATAACAAGGAAGAAAGTTCTCTTCCCTTTGATTTTTTTTCACAGCTCTACCAAACCTTTCTGTTTTCTTTACATTATAACATCGTAATATCTGTAACAGAATTTTCAAATGTAGCCACATGAACAAAGCCTCTCTTAACTCATGAACTGTTTCCTCCTTTTCCAACATAGCAAGCAAATCCAATAACCTCATGCTAATTAGCTCCACAGATTGTGCCAACTTTTCCGCTCGTACAAAAAAATATGCCTGTGATAAATCATGTAATAAATCGTGTCTGCCCGTTGCTTCTTTGTTTACATTAGTGTCGTAGTGTCTGTAGTAGATCATGTGTCTTGGACTGTAACCCAGCTATCTTTTTCCAGCATAACAAGCAAATCACATAGAGGCTTATTTATTCTTGATGTTTCCAAATATCCATCTGCTTGTTGTCTATTTACAAGCCCATCCCATAATAATTTACTTATCTTCCCAGTTTCAAACTTTTCTTCTACTTGCTGGATATTTTGCATATTCTGCAAAGTTTGGTTAATGGAGAAATCTAGCTTATCAAAGCCAGCCTTTTGTTCAATTAAGAAACAGTCAAGTTGCTTAATTAAACCATTCTTCTGTTGCACTATTATTGCCTGTTGGGATAGTTGCAAGACTATTAAAGAGGTCTGTATTGCTGATAATGTTTCCCGTATTTTTCCAATTTCGTCCATAATTTGGCAGGGGTCCAAGAGTCCCAGGAACAAAGGAGCAAAGAAGGCCGTTATTTCTTGACAAAGGTCCAACACACAAGAAAGATACTTCTCTAATTCAATTAATCAGTAGTTTGTTATTTTAATTATTTGCCCTTGGAGAGATTAAAAAGAAAAAAGATCTTTTCCTTACAAAGAGCGCTCTCTCTTCTCATGAAATTCACTGCCTTTCAACTCCGTGGGGGGAAAGGCTATTTTTTCTTTCTTTATGTCAATTAGCAAGAAATGCAGCTTTTTCCATGGGTATCATTGCAGAAAAAAGAAATAAAAATAATTCCCAGTAAATCAGATGCTAATAGCTAAAGTAGACTAAACAAAAAAGAAGTATGCCGAGGACTTGCAGAGAGCTAACATCTCTCTTGTACCATCCGGCTGAGAAAAGCTTGATTTTCTCCCAGTAAGCGCAGAATTGCCATCCCACAGCATCTGGGAGTTACAGCATCTGCAATCTATCTTCTCCCCTACAGGGCTTAGATTGAGCCCCAGCGGCGCACCACCGGAAAGTTACCAGCGTGATAACAGAGGTTCATTAATCACATCTGTCTCGTCCCAACGCCATACTTGGATCCTTATTTGAGCTCCATCTTCAGCATCTGGCCTCCTAAAGAGCAGTCAGGGTTGATCTCCTCTAGGACTGACCGGTTTGATCACCATGTGGTCCAAGGGACTCACAGGAGTCTCCTCCAGCACCACAATTCAAAGGCCTCAATCCTTTTGCGCTTAGCCTTCCTTATGGTCCAGCTTTCACAGCCATACATTGCAACTGGGAAAACCATAGCCTTGACTATATGCACTTTTGTTGGCTGGGTGATGTCTCTGCTTTTTACTATGCTGTCTAGATTTGCCATAGTTTTCCTCTCCAGAAGCAATATCTTTTAATTTCTTGGCTGCAGTCCCCATCTGCGGCATTTGTATATACAGTACAAATATACAGTACTCCCACACTGTTGTTGAGAGGTTGAGAGCAGGAGGAGAATGATGCGAGCTGCTTTGAGTTTGCTGTATGAAAAGAGTATCAATCTAACAAAAAATACAATGAAGGAAATACCTTTTCGAGTCACTGCCATTCACAATGTGCTTACTAGCAGAGCTGAAAGGAGGTTTCTATTCTTTAATATTAGCATTATCTGGTGAAAAGTGCCAGGAACCACCCAGCTGGAAGCGGCTCTTTTCATATTTACTCAGAAGGAAGTCCGTCCAATTCAGAGGATTCTTTTGGAATCAAGCTGCACCGAAGTCCACGCAACAATCAGCACAAAGCCATTTAGGGAACGTCCTTTCCTCAGCCCAGGCAGAAATCTGGCGGCTTCAGCAGGGGGATCGCCCCGCTCCAAGGCTGAAGGCTGCGGCAAGGCCACGGGAAGCGGGCGGAGAGGCGCATTGCGAGGCGAAGACCTACAAGGCTTCGTAGGACGGGCCTTGCTTGCACCTGCTGCGGTGCAGGCGCTGCTGCCTCGTCGCCGAGATGAGGATCTCCAAATTAACCCGCTTGCGCGGGCGGCCAGCAACTTGGCGCAAAAGGCCTTTTCTGCACAAAATGGGTGGGCCTGAATTTTCGGACGAAACTTTAAAATGCTGTTACTCGTGAAGCACCTTCTGATGACTCATGCTTCTTAATCAGAGGCGGCTTTTTTCCCCAGAAAAACAATGGGAAGATGTGTAAGCCGAACATTAATTTAATGAAAACTTTTGCAGGAGGCTTGTGTCCCCTCCTTTCCTTAAAAGGCAATTGGGCGGCCCAAAAGATGGTGGGGGGGGGCAGTGCTTGCTCTGGAGGGTGAAGTTCTGTGGGGGAGGCGCAGGGATCGGGGCTTTCCAGCAGTAGAAAGGGCTGCGCGCGTCCCCGGGTTGTGACTACGTCTCTGCAGTTCAGAGGGCTGCGGCTGGCAAGTTTAGACCCTGCAGCCTGAACAGCTGACCGGGGCCCTCTTGAGACCGACGTGCATTGATTAAGTTGAGAAATAAGGTGTCCCCCCTCCATGCCTTCCCTGCATCCCCCTGCTGTGACGTTCCTTGCCTGCCAGAGCAAAAGAAGAAGCGCAGCGCCCCCTCCTGTTCGCCAGCCTCGATTAAATCTTTGAATGCTTTCCAACTTGTCTGCATCTTTCTTAAACTGTGGTGCTCAGTTTAAGGACACAGCACTCAGATGAGGTCTAACTAGTCTGACTGGAGAGGAACAGTACTTCACATGATTTGGAAGCCATACTTTACTAATACAGGTTAAAATAGTATTTCTCCATGAATCACTGCCTTGTCGTGGTGAAGGGGCTTGCATAGCTCAATGAAGCTATGAGCTATGCTGTGCAGGGCCACCCAAGACAGACAGGTCATAGCAGAGAGCTCTGACAAAACGTGATCCACTGCAGAAGGAAATGGCAACCCACTCCAGTATCTTTGCCATGAAAACCCCATGGACAGTACCAAAAGGCA